CGCCCGCGCCGCTTCTGCGGGAAGCACCCGGCGACTCCGAGCCTCTCCTGCCGTCAGCGGGGGGCGGGATGGGGCTCGGGAATCGAGACACCCAGCAGCGCCCCGCGTCTCACCTCTCCGCCCGGGTCGCAGCTGTCGGGTCAGGTTCGCTTTCTTTGTATCTGATTTGTTTCAGTCCCCCGGGTTTTCTTCTGAGTTAGGGAATCAGCCCATATGTGTTGTACCAAAACTTTGTAGAGCTGTTGAAACATGTAGCATTATCCCACACCACAGCCTTTCCAAAGATTGGTTTTTAAGAAACTGTTGCAGGTTGCTTTAAGGAAGCTGTGAGGGTCACAAGGGATTTTTTTTTTTCTATTAGGTAAAAATTCAAACGGTCGGGAGAGTGTCATAGTTTGAGGAAGAAAAAAAACCAAGTGTGAGGTGGAGAGAAAAATGGAGGAGCGAGAAGAAAAGCGAAGAGGGTGAAAGCGCGGGTGGGAGGGCAAGTTCATGACTGACTGAGCGCTCGGGTCTGGGCCTAGGGCCCCTCTATCAATTCCTGCCGCTGCTCCAACCAGTTCTTAAGGGAAGTAGAAAGAGCCCTTTTAGGGTCATTTAAGTGATTACTCATTCTTTGCCACTAGAGAGATTTCCACTCCGCAGACGACAAGGACACCAAGGAGCATTTCTTCACGCTTAGGAAGAGAAACATTCAAAGGTTAATTGAAGCTGAAAAGCATATATTTTATGATGGAAACACATTTATTATGCCAAATTAGGCTTTCCCCTCTCTGGCTATAAGGGGCGTTTTTCAGCTTAATTGTCGAAGCAAGAAGCTTTATGTGTGGATATTGACAAGCGGTGTGATATATCTAGAACCCATAATTCGTGAGCTAAAGTATGAAAGTAGTAAATTCAGGTTGGAAAGTTCATGGGACCTAAACCAACTGTTCCTGAAATGTAGAGACAGGGGATGTAGACAGGAAGCATCTGACATCAACAGTACTTCTGTAGTACATGTTTTCAAACTCTGGTTTTCATATCGTTAGCAAAACCACTAATTGATCTTTTCATCCAAAAAGCAAACATAGTGATGCTCATTAGTAGTATCATAATCAAAAGTGACAAGATAGTGATAAAAATCTGGCATTTATTAACACAAAAAGAGACAAGGTTACATTTTCCCAACACTAATGGATTAGGCATTTGTATTTAAAAAGAAGACAAAGAAAAGAACATTGTAGATTGCCATGCCGTAGTAACAAGGTCTCAGAAATGTGATAGTTGCACACAGATTTTAAGTTTGGAACAGTGGAACTATGTGCTGGCTAAGTACTTTATAGTAGTATAGAAGAATAATCTTAGCAGCAGCTATGAAGTTGAAATTGAGGAAGTCTTGCAGTGAAGTGCTTTTGGTAGTAGGTGACTTCAGCAACTGTGAAAAGCAACATTTGATTTTAGGGGCTAGTGTAACTTATAGAAGAAATTCCTGGTTGGGAGGTGGAAATGGGGGCAGGGGGAGGGACAGAAAGGCACTCAGATGTCTAAAGCAAGAGCAGTATTCAGTTTCTCTTTCTCCCTGCAGCATCTGGTATAATGTTAAATGTCTGTTGAATGAATGAGAAGATCTTTAGAGAAATTTCTTTAGCTAAAGGGATGTGCTTTGTTACTGGAGGAAATATCTCAGGGTGAGAAGTTGCTACAGGCACAAGGGTTGAGACGGATGGTTCAGGTACTGGTTGTCCCTTTGGAGGTTATTAGCTGTCCCTTTGGGGGGTCACGGGTTGTCTCTTTCGGGAGTTTCTACTGCTGTGTTTTCTGTCTTTTTCACTGGCATGTTCAGGATGTCATTGGTGGTCAAGTGAAAAACAAAGTCTTGATTTTTCAAAAAGTTTCCAAGGTCATCATTGGATAGAATAGTTACATTATTATTTACTTTGCTGATGCTAAGTGAAATGTAGCAAACCAAAGCACTGTCACCAGGGAATAACAAGATAGCAATGGAGAGACAGATGTAGCCTTTCTTTTTCTTATTTAAATCTCTTGGCCATATCAGAATTCAAAGCAGAAATAACTCGAGTAGGAAATTAATATTGTTTAATGCAAGGAGGATAATTAAAAAGGAAAAGAATGTGTATTTCTATTTCCTAGCCTTACTGTCACAAGTTGGAGAAGTTTTCATGTTTGTTTTCGGATTTTTGTTTTTCGTTTTACCAGAGGAAGAGTACTTTTTTCTCTTTCTCTGTTACTTTCCAAAACTCATAAGGAGTTGAGTCCAGTGTTGAAAGCCGTTAAATTTTCATTTTTGCTGTGTTTCCTTTTTGTTCTCCAGACTTATCACGGTTTGAGCTCAAATCGTTGGATTCTGGGAATGCGCACCCCCCAGCCCTTTTCCTTGTAGTACTGTCGGGCTGTGGGGCCATGCTGTCCACCACCCTTTCCGGAAAGTCTTCCAGGACGAGGTTCTGCCCCCTCGTCGCACCTCTCCCTCTGACTGAGGGCCCAGTGTGGCACTCGGCCCTGTGAAAGAACAAACTACACAGTTTCTGCTTTTTGGGGTTTCTTCCGGAACCAGGCATGACATCTCCCATAGTGTCGACTGTTTCTTCAACCCATGGTGTTGTGACACAAGCCCATGATTTTTAACCTAGGCAGGTATCGGGGTGCAGTGTGCTCACGCGCACGCTGGACGCTTACCGGGGCGAGGTGGAGAGCAGACTGCTTGACTTCACGTGTCTCCGCTACCACTGACCAGCTGCGAGAAGCTGGACAAATTAACTGAACCTCAAAGGCTTAAACATTTTCATTTGAAAAATGGAAATATTAAAGTAAACCCTCACAGGGTCCTTAAAAGTTTAAATGAAATAATCTGTATAAAGTGCTTAAGTACTTGAGGCATCTGGCACTCAGTAAGCACTCTGTAGCGTGGGTGCAGAATGGGAGAATTACCATCATTATCATTGTTGTTATCATCAGTCCAACTTTAATAATAGTATAGAACCATGATTCTCAAAGAATGATCTACAGACCTGTGCCAGCCCACAGACTGTCACAGGTTGGCAATGAAATAAGGAGCTAGTGCCAGAAGGTCAGTAGTCTGGGGCACCAATCATATGGTTTAGGTCAGCAAGACTTCTGCAGTGAAGGAAGCAGTGGGTTGATTTGCATTCTGATGGAGGACCCAGCCATAAACAAAGTAGAGGTACAATATATATTACGTTATGTTGTGGAAAGCGTTCGGGGAGAAAGCGCAGCAGGAAAAGAGGCCAGTAAGTGGGTTTGGGGCATGGGTAAAGTTTAGAGCGTGGCCAGGTGGCAGTAAGCTCTCACCGAGTTGACATTTGGTAAAAAATCCTTTACAAGGTGAGGGAGCTAGCCACTTGGATAGCTGAGCAGGGGCATTTGGGCAGAGAGAAGGGCAGGCACGAAGCCCGAGGCCAGCGCGTCTGTGGCTCGAGGGCCATGTGGCTCAGGAAGAGCGAGCGAAGCGGGGGCTGTGGGAAGCGAGGGCAGGGGTCCCCCAGGACTGGTGGGTCCTCTTAAGGATTCCCGTTTTTCCTCGGAAATGAGACGGGAAGCCATTAGACGTTTTTGGCAAGACACGGGGGCTGACTTAGCAGGATCACTCTGGGGAGAAGTGACTGCAGGGGACTCAGTAAGGGTGGAAGCGCCACCAGTCGGGGGCAGTTGTGGTGATGCAGGAGAAGGGACGATGGCTCGGAGCAGCTTTTGCCCTTGGGGAGCGTGGGGGTTTGATATACGTTGAAGGTAGAGCCAACACGATCAGATGTATTCATTTTCTATTGCTACTGTGACAAATGACCACGACTGTAGTGTTCATTTGTTCTTATAGTTCTGCAGGTTAGGATTCCATTGTGAGTCTCACTGGGTTAAAATCCGGGTGTCAGCAGGGAAATTGCAGGAGATGGTCCGTCTCCTCGCCTCCACCAGTGTCTGGAGATCATCCACACCTTTCCTGGCCCCTGGCCCCTCCATCCAGCCTCACAGCCGGCGGCGTTCCATCTCTGACCAGTCTTTCATAGTCCTGTCTCCTCTGACTGTAGCTGAGAAAGGTTCTGTGATTTTAAGACTTATGATTGGATCAGACCCAACCAAATAATCTCCCGTCTCAAGGTCCCTAACTTAATGACGTCTGCAGCCCCTTTCGCCATGCCAAGTCCACATTCACTACTTCAGGAATTAGGACGCACACATCTTTAGAGGCTGTTATTCTGGCTAGCACATCCATCGCAGGATCAGGTGTGAGATTTGAGATAAAGGGAAATCATGAATAATGTCAAATTTTTTGGTCTAAGCAACAGAAAGGAAGTACTGAGATGGGAGGACCGCGTTCGTGGCTTCGGGGCAGATATCGTGAGCTCGGTTTCGGACACGTGAAGTTTGAAATGCCTGTTCAATGCCAGGTCGGAGGTGATCGGGAGTTGAGCACCTGAGCTGAAGTGGAGTCTTCCACACGCGATGGCATTCAAGCAGGAGACTGCTTGAGATAAAAGGGAGGCGGCCGGGACCCTCCGGCCAACAAGCGCTGAGGCTGGACGTTTGAGAATTCGATAGGTATGAGGAATGCAGTGATCATTAAACTGAACATGGAGAAAAATGCAGAAAACGAGCATTGGACAGTGAAACATGAAAGTTACTCAGGACAGACTTCACAGTCTTTTTTCACTTAATCCCTTGCAAACTTTATCCTTTTCTATGAACCGTATTTCTAGAATTACTGACTAGAGCAAAGCACATAGAAATGACTAAGACTTAGCTTATCTTGCGTCAACTTCTGATTCTGTCTTGTGATCGTGTCGTGTTATATTAGATATATATTTTCATAAAATGCTAGTTTAAAAGTTATAACAGATTCTCTTCAAAGGGCAGGCCTCAGCATATTTTACAGTTTACAAGAGACATGTAGGGTAGTTTCGAAAAGGAGCAAGTGCCAGTCTTTCGGATTTAGAATTCTTGCAGTAGAATGTAGTTTATACTGACAAGAGAACCATGTCTTATTAATTGGGAGTGGCGTGCGCCCTGCCGTATTGTTTGTTCCCCCTTGTTTAGGTTGGCACTATTAAATGTGCCAAGGCCAAGACTAGGATCTCTTGTATCTGCTTAGTTACATCCGGGAGACAGTGCTGGCCCACTGCTCGGCTGCAGGATGAGCTGTGTGCACCTCACAGGAGTCCACGGGCGCAAATACCAGCCCTCTGCCCACCAAGTCTGGAACTCAGAGTGTATGGCAGCGAGAAGTGCCTCTGCGTAGTGAAAACAGATGGCACGAATTCCATAGCTTTTACCCCTCGTACTCACCAGATTCAACATGGAGCCCTTTGTGGACTTGGCACTTATGAGTTCTTCTGTCAAACTAGCCTAACTGGTCCTTAATGAGCTGGGTTGGGGAGCAGGCTAGAACAGCAGCGCCAGCCATAGAGCAGACATGGGTGCTGGGTCCCTGGGGACAAGCTGGGCTCGGGGCAGCAGTCTGGCCTTTGACCCCTGGACACTGCGGGGAAATCTGAGCATTTCATTCTCTTGTAGGAACTGATCGTGACCCTGAGTCATGAAGAAAACGTTAAATTGTGTGTATACTGGATTTTAGTGGGTGGAAGATTGGTCATCTGTTGTTGCCACCCCAGCCACCCTGGAACTTGGTAGCTGACAGCGGTGACCGCGTATCCCTGTCACGGTTCTTTGGACTGACTGGGCTCCTGTGCGTGGGTGTGGTTGGCGGTCTGTGCTTTCGGTCAGCGGAAGCCCAGCTTCGGTCTCTTCCCAGTGGCCTCTCCATGTGGCTTGGGCGTCTCGGAGAATGACAGCTGGTTCCGGGGGAGTGGTGAAGCATGCGAGCGCCTGGGAAGGGGTTCACATCTCTTCACTGCATTCTTTCGGCCACAGCGAGTCACAGGGCCAGCTCAGACTCAAGGACGAAGGAAGAGACGTCACCCCTGCATGGGCGCAGTGGCAGGGAACCTGCAGTCCCCTGTAGCCCTCCAGAGCATCGCAGCAGGCGATGTGTCGCCATGTGTCCGATCGCAGTGTGTGTGTGAGGAGGGGCCAGGCCGGCGGAGGTGTCCCCGCTCACGGCTATTCAGAAAAATGGGCTATTCCCGGAGGGTTCGGAGTGTCAGTACTTGATTACAAGGTTACTAGACTTTTAGGGAGTATTATAAAATTAAAATGGACATTGTGAGGGCATGCATTTGGTAAAAGTAATGGCCGTGCTTTTTTCCTTAAGGTAAAACAGTTCAGAAGTCGTACCTAAGGCAAGCATTGGTCGTAATAACAGAATTTACTTTACATGCAGGTGAGAACTCTTGTAAGGGATGCTAATCGGAACAAAATAAAAAGGTAAAACGAAGCGTTAACTTCTCCTGAGCAGACTTTTCTGTCTGTTGGACACCGGCTCAAAGTCTGCTTGTCCTGTGATGCGGCTCCGGGTTTCCTGGCGCTGGTCCTGGCTCTGGCCCCGCCCATCGGGGCTGGAAGGGCGGTGCAGTTAACCCTTATGACATCTGTGTCATCGCACGTTTTAACCTTGAAACAGTGGCTTTCAGAGCAAATTTTGAAGAGCTCTCCCTTCGTAGAGCTAAAACGGCCTTCTCTCCAGTTATTACTGTCTCCCTCTTTTGGCCCATTCATGTGAGTTCTTAAAAGTCTGGTCCTGCTCTTGGTCCTGTGCTAGGAGTGCCCTTCCGTGTGTGTCTGGTCTTCACTTTGCAATTCAGGCCTGAGCCGGCACTGACAAGTGTTTCTGCGAGCAGCTTTTTCACTCTGATAGGAAGGAGCCAGCCCTTTGAGCCCGCTCACAGTCTAAAGCCACAGTCGCCGTCGGTGGGGTGCTGTAAAAGAGGGATTTAAGTGACAAAATATCACAAACTGTATTTTATGATTTGTTCTCTTTTACTTGAGTTTTTCTGTCTTTTTAGTTTTCAGCCGGTTACTGTGAAAAAGCCCTTATTTCCAGCAACACTTATTGGATTTTTAAAAGGTCACTAGTGATTGGAAGAGGAGGGACTTCTTACTTGACATATAGGGAATAAGTTACAGTGTAGCTTTTGCCCTTCCTTAGGTAATTTCTCTTCTTTGTTTAAACTAAATGTCTTTTGTTGCCTCTTGAATCTGACATATTGAGCTCAAGACCCTGGAATCGCAAGGAATATGCTTGAGGTTTCTAGCTTAATTAAACAAACAAAAGGCCTTGTTAGTGAAAGCAAGCCATAGCATCAGAGGGGAAAACATAACGAAGTCGCTTCCCTCACTTGACTTTGTAAAGTGGCACAAGCAAATGTAAAATGAAGTTTTAAAAAAATACTCTCCTTTAAACTAGAGGATTTCTTAATTTAAAATACTAGCAATGAACTTCCTTGTGACCAATGTGAGGGCGACAGTCCCCAGACACTCCCAGTTCCCCTTTGTAAAATCCAGCATCTCTTTTGTAGTGAGATTAGTGACCACGACTGAGCCTCTCAGTCACACTCTCCCTCTGTAGCTTTCTGTTCACTGTCAATCAAGACCCAGGGGCCCGGTGACAGAGGTCAGGCAGAGAGCGCCGGGTCCAATGTGGACTCACGCTCCACACTGCCCAGGAAAAACTGCAGCCGGTCAGACTTTTAAGAGTTAGTCCACATGGTGCCCAGTCTTCTGAGCAGGCAGCGGAAATGACAGACTGTGACCAGCTCACAGAAGAAAAACGATGCTTTTGCTTTGAACGCCTGTGCTTTCCCTTGCGAACGTCTTATACATGTACCTAGTTTTCCTTCTTTTTGTTTGTTTGTTTTCAGCGTGGTTTGTTGACAGTCACGAAGGGTGCCGAGCCGAGCCCACACACTGGGTAACCCAGCAAAGAAGAACAGATGTGATTTGAGGAATCAGTTTGCCAAAGCCTTGAACCGAAGTCTTAGAAATTGGGATATCCGCGTTCGGATAAGTGGACATCCAGCCCTTTTGCGGTGGGTTACTGTAGGAGAAGTAGAATGCCGGCTGCTTGAGCTCACTCTGGAACAAGATGGAAGAAGATCTGGAGCGTCCAAACTCTTCCTCTGAAAAACGCTATTTTCCTGAATCTCTTGATTCCAGTGACGTGGACGAGGAGGGGCTTTTGGCCTGTGAGGATTTGGAACTCAACCCTTTTGATGGGTTGCCATATTCATCTCGCTATTATAAACTCCTGAAGGAAAGAGAAGCTCTTCCAATATGGAAAGAGAAATACTCCTTTATGGAGAATCTGCTTCAAAATCAGATCGTGATCATTTCAGGAGATGCCAAGTGTGGCAAGAGTTCTCAGGTGAGTCTCCACCGCAAAAAAACCGTTTGCTTTGTGTGTTGTACGTTTTTTATTACTTAAATAATGTCAGTGTCACAGCATAGTGTTCTGTTTGAATAATGATCTTATTTACCCCAGAAAAACAAGAGTTTAGCAATTCAGCCGTGACACTTGCCTGATTTTACATACTCAAGCCAGATGAGTAACAATTAATGATACTTCTGTGGCTATGAATTGTGTTTAGCGGACTATTGAATTTTCTCTAGAATAGTAGCAAAAAATCTGTTTAAATTATCCTAGTGCACATATTTTATATTTTAAAAGATGTTATAGATGTTATTTGCCTGCCATAGTTTTGGGGATTTTCCTGCCATGTTTACATGCCCCGCAGTCTGATAATCAAGATGTTTGGACGTGCTTATCGGTGAAGCTGGTTGAGCTACAGAGATTCAGAAGACAAGGAAACTCTTATTTTCTTGACTATGAGACATAACTGAGTGGCCACACATTTCAGGGTTTAATGAGGAGGAAAGAATGAGGGTAGATAGTTAATGAATACTTACTGTCTGGTTTGTTGTTATATTTGAACCTTTTCAGGAGTCCCCAACCCCCGGGCTGCAGACCAGTACCGGTCCAGTCCATGGCCTGTTAGGAACCAGGCCGCACAGCGGGAGGCGGGTGAGCGAGCAAAGCTTCATCTGTGTCTGTATCCCCAGAACTAGCATCACTGCCTCAGCTCCACCTCAGGTCATCAGGCGTTAGATTCTCATAGGAGCACCGGTCCCTGGTGCCACAAAGTTTGGGGACCGCTGCATTTTGATTTTACTAAAGTCTTTATTTTACCCTTACAGGCAGTATTTTGTTATGAAATTTATTTCCAGGTTCTTATGATGTAAGAATTATAATAGCCACAGAGATAATGTGATCGAATCCCTCCACTTTTCAGATGACACTATGGCCCAGGGGCACTTGATAATTTGTCCAACTAATATGTCCTGACTTTCTGAGCTGAAATTATAAGAATACTTCCCACCACACACTACTACTCCCAAATTGTTTATTAGCTCTGAGGCTTACTGGTTTTAAACGTAACTTGAAGAGAGGCGGGATGGATGATAGGTGTTTTTTTTTTCTTTAACTTATAGTTGCCAATATCAAGGGTTCATTATGACTTGTTATTTGTGGTGATGAGTTATTATTTAAATGAATTATTTCAGTTTGTCATAAGGATGTAAAGATGAAAACTGAGTGAGCATGATTTCCCTGATTTCTGTGGACAAACGCCAAGTGTAAAATTATTAGTTTTTCTTTTGCAATAATTTTAGTCTCACAAAAAAGTTGCAAAAATGGTACAAAAATTTTCCATACGTTGTTCACCCAGATTCCCCAGATGTTAGCATTTTATTGCATTTGCTTTGTTATTCTCTCTCCACATACACACACGCGCACACATGACTTCCCAGTTAGGCGATCTGGTGATCGTGAAGCAGTTCAAAGTACACAGAATCACACAATTTAAAAATATTTATGGAAAGCGTAAGTAATAGATTTGTCCATCAAACAAATATTTATTGAGTTCTGGGATTATCTGGTGACTAAGACTCCTATTCTCGTGGGTGCTGGGTGAGCATCAGGAACAGACCAGCCTCTGCTGGCAGCGTGGCCCACACGAGGACATCTGGAGGTCCACTCTGGGGTCCCCTGCCAGGGTCACAGCCTGGGAGAAAATGGCCCGGGAGCTCAGACTGGAAGGGTTACTCTCACCCATCCAACTCGTTTTACAGGGCAGGAAACTGAAGCTTAGCGAGACTGAGACTTACACGTAACAGAGTGGTGGCCCACGGGGCCCACAGGTGCTGGCTCTGCCCTCAGGTGCCTCTTACGTCCCGTGTCGTGCCCTGGTTCCAGATTTCCTGGGCGCGGCATCTTAAACGTTCGTTTTTCATAGAACAAAGTGAGTACTGAGTCATCACTGTTTGTTTTCAAGCTGTTGACAAGGCTGACACCTGTCTTAAAATGGAGGAGCTACATTTGCACTTTTAGAGAATTTGAAATTCACAGCAGCCCTTCATTTCAGAGTTACTTATGATTTCTGGTAAATTCTGTTAATGTTTCAAATTGCAGTGAGGATTAAAATCTGAGAATTCCATGATGGGCCTCGTAAATAGCAGATCTCAAGATAATTAAATATTAAAACTCTTAAATACTTTAAATCTATTTAAAAAACACTCTTGGAATGATTTATTTTAAAAATACATGTAACAAAGCATGATTGATTGATGGTGCCTTAGGACTGTAGCAGACAAATGAACTCACGACTTTCTGCTGTAATAATTCTTACACAAATGAACTTGGTAAAAATCAATTGATCCATAATACATTTTTAAGAAAAGGACTTTTAAAGTAAATAACTCCAGAGCTGCCTTGCCATCGGCTCTTTCCAAATCTGGGTGGATTGGTTGATTATCTCACTGGGCCTATTTTTCACTGTGTTTAGATGATAAATGCCAGTTAGTGTTTATCACTAGGGAAGTGTTAGGTAGCTTCATCTGCTTATTTTGTTATGCTCATTCGGATTTAAATGTACATGCTTTAATTTTGAGTCTGTATTTTTCATCTAAACACTATTTAATATTTACATTCTTAAAACAATAGTTGATATCAGAAGCCATATTTTTAGTGGAGCTTTCTTATAACCTGAAGAATGTAATAATCCATAAATACATTAGCCTTTTAAGAAACATAGCTGAGGTTAAAATAGTTTCTTTATTTTGCTTTTTATTGGTATCTGCCTTTTTTTCATCTAGGAGTCAAACTTTAATTCCCTTTTATTCTTAACTTTATTGACTAGCAATAACTCTGCATACACAGAGATTGTCTAGAATCTCAGTGAGATGTACTGCAGCCCACTGGCGATTCCCTGGTGAACGAAAAGATCGGAGGCGAACCCCCGGTTTGGTTGTGTTGCCGGCGGGAGCTGAGCCTGTCGTTTCTCCCCGTCGCAGGTCCCGCAGTGGTGTGCCGAGTACTGCCTCTCCGTCCACTACGAGCACGGGGGCGTAGTGTGCACACAGGCCCACAAGCAGACGGCCGTCCAGCTCGCCCTGCGGGTGGCGGACGAGATGGATGTGAACATTGGCCACGAAGTCGGCTACGTGATCCCTTTTGAGAACTGCTGTACGAGCGAAACCATCCTGAGGTTGGTCTGGGGGTTCACCTGCTGCGCCCACCACCCCTGGCGTGGCGCCGCGATTCTAGAAGAATGTGGTCTTGTGTTCTGCGCTCTCAGCATCTGTGACGTGTATGATGACTGGCCTCCGTCGCCAGCCTGCCATGCACCAGTTCTGTCCACATTGGTGTCAGCAGGGATTCCTTGTCCAAACTTCTCCCGTGACACCCCATGATGCCCAGGAGAAGTTACGACTGGCTAGGTTGGCCCCAAAGCGCTTCAGGCCTGTGCTTCTCTAACGCCCCCTCAGGATGGGTCCATATGGGTTGCCCGTGTGCCAGCCAGGCTGGCATGTGGCTCTCTTCATTCATGCCATTCCCTCTGCTGGCAAAGCCCGTGTCGCTGCCGGGCTCGGCTAGTCCCTCCTAGCCACACAAGACCACACAAGGGCCACCTGCTCCGGGAAGGCTTCCCTGACACACACACACACCCCTCCCCCAGTGTAAATTAAAAGACCGTGGTGGGTTCCTACAAAACTTGGGATCGGCCCTTGTCATGGCAGTTGAGATCAGTGTTTTCCAAACTGTACTTTTCAGAGTCTTCAGGTTCCAAGAAGCCTCAGTACAACCACAAGCTGTGGGAAGGGAGCAGCCTTCTTGTATCTCCTTTCTGTTTCAGCTTCATTGTGAGCCTTCCTTTGCATAATGGGGCCCAAGAACTTAACACAGAGAAGAAATGAAAAAGAAGAAAGTCAGGGGGAAAAAAAAATCACTGCTCTGGCCAGTGTTTCTCCAGCAGTTTCATACCAAAGCCCATAAAGAAAGTGGGAGCATCTTAAGCACCTCGGGGAAATGGGCACCGCTGCTTGCAGCCCGAGGCGGCCATCCTAAGGGCTTCAGCCGCCCCAGGCGCTGGCTGACCGCTCCAGGGGCTGAGGAGGCCAGCATCTCGGGAGCGGTATGCCTGCACACCTGTAATCCATTTGCACGGCACACCATTGAGGAAGCTCTGCTCCACTGTAATGGGGCGGTGTAGTAAGTACAGTGTAGCAAAGCAGTATAGGATAGTGCGCCACCATCCAGTACAGGATGGCGTAGCATCACAGTATTGTATAGTACAGTGTAGTGTAGTGTAGTATAGTATAGTACAGTATAGTACAGTATAGTATAGTACACTGTAGTATAGTGCAATATAGTAAGTAGAGTGTAGTGTAGTATAGTATAGTGTACTATAGTATAGTACAGTATAGTATAATACAGTGTAGTATAGTGCAGTGTAGTATAGTACAGTATAGTATAGTACAGTATAGTGCACTATAGTATAGTACAGTGTAGTATAGTATAGTATAGTGTAGTATAGTGTAGTGTAGTATAGTATAGCGTAGCAGGATCGTGCAGCATAGTACAGTATAGCAGGAGCATTTTTTTTGCATACTTATGTCCCCAGCCCCTGGCATGCTTGTCCCATGGAGGGAAGGAGTGGTGTCCTGCTCTGGCTAGCGGCTATGGACTCTGGAGCTGTCCTTTTCCCATTCAGAAAGCCCAGATGACACACTTGGTTTGTTCTCAGCTGCTTTCCCGCAAGTGTTTATCTTTAAAAATAGAAGACGTTGTCTTCAGGCCAATGTTACACCATAGGGGACTCTTCCGGCCAACAGCACTTGAGCTTTTCGAAGGTAGGTAACCTGCTATGTATAGCCATGATGTCCTCAAGTCATCAGCTTAATATATATTTGTAAGCTACTTATTATGCAAATGGTCCATGAGTGACACGGATGGAATGTAAGCTCCTCTTTTCTGCTTAGGAGCTTGCAAACTAGTGAAGAGTTGGCCAGAACAAGACGTACAGCCCTGAAAAGCTGAAGGGTCCCTGAGTTTGGCAGAGTCATTCTTTATCCTTTGCATTTTGAAGTGGCCTCTCGAGTGGCCATGGTTTTCCTTAGAGGACAGCCCCGATTAGGTTCTCACGTTCATATATGTAGTTTTATATCTTTACTGCCATCTAGACTTTGGAAAGGACTCTTGGATGGAGCCACTTTTAAAATGAAATATTTCAGTGTTCTGTCTTACTTAACATGGATCTCACACACACGCGCGTGCCACGGAAAGATAAATGAGTGTGGAGAAGTCCAGTAGTTGTGTCAGAGCAAGTCAGAGGAACTTCTCACCCTTAAACATCTGTTACGTGTTGGGACTCGGCTTTCGTGGCATCGTTTTATGGGGAGCCCCCCACCCCCATCCCCCACACACTCATTCCTGGGGCAAAGGAAAGACTGTGCTTTATTGAAATTGTTCGTTCTTACCTGCATGCGGTATTCCTTGCTTACTCTGGGAAAGAGCTTTCAGGTGTGGGGGGCTGACCACAGGGCACCTTCAAAGGTGAAAGTGAGGGGCCGACTCCAGCCACTGCAGGGTCGCCTTCCTTCTGCCTTGGCTGACCGCCTGGTCCTGTTCGTTATCTTTTACCGTCACTTGATGGCTACTCTTGCTGCTGGGACACCATCCTTTCTTTTCTGCCCTGACACCCCCAGCCAGTGCAGGGTCAGCAGATACTCTGAGTTTTTGTTAACAGGGTTTGAGTCGCAGCAAAGAGGCCAAAGCCATTGAGAAGCCCCCGTGATAACGGAAACCATGTCTTATGTTCCTCCTGGTCTCCTGTGCTCCAGAGAGGAGGCCACAGGGCTGTGAAGTGAGTGTCTGTGCCGCCTGCTCACTCACAGCCTGGACAGGTCTCCTGGCCGCCTCTGTGCTTAAGCTTCCTTATCTGTAAAATGGGGCTGTTGTAAGGACTAACTGAGCTGATATGTGTGGGTGACGTGTACATGTTAGCTACTGCTTTTGTAATCATAAAGGTAAATTAGAACTGGATTTGTTTTCCTGGAGATGTATGCTAGCCGTACTTTTTAATAAGCTCAGATTGAATAGCTACTTACATGGAGGATTTAAGGTTGACTTGATTATAAAAGGCAGTATTCTATATTTAATGCGATCTTTCATTTTCTTGTAACCCCCTAGTATCTAATCCATTAGGCACATAAGCGGCACTTAGTAAATCTGATCTTTGTGTCTACTACCCTTTTATTGGATGCTATATATAACAACTTAGTATTAATTCTTTAAGCTTTTTTCTGGCCTTTTTTGAGATAGTAGATACCTGAATATTATATACCTAATATAGTTTTTCTGAACTATCAAGGTATCTTGTAGAGTGACACATAGATTTCAAAATATGGACCCTCTACAGCAGCGGTCCCCAACCTTTCTGGCACCAGGGACTGGTGCTCCTGTGAGAATCTAACACCTGATGATCTGAGCTGGAGCTGAGGCAATGATGCTGGCGCTGGGGAGCGGCTGCAGATACAGATGAAGCTTCGCTCGCTCACCCACCTCCTGCTGTGCAGCCCGGTTCCTAACAGACCATGGACTGGTACCAGTCCACGGCCGAGGGCTTGGGGACCCCTGCTCTAGAACACAGACTTTTAAATTACTCACATTTTCAGTTAAGGTCACATCCGATGTACATTAATTTTAGAAAATATTAGCAAACCTTTTCTATAATATTAGTAAATCTTTTCTATATTTTATATTCTTCGCTTTCAGAAATTTAATGTTAGGAAATTAAAATTTAAACTACATTTTCCCAAACCTTGGCAACGTATCTTTTTTACATAGTTATCGGTAACAGCGTACCCACGATCTTATTAATGTAAAGGTAAGAAATAGATCTCCACGTTATAGAGGAAGTCGAGAGTTTGCACAGTGTTTTGGGATCGAGCCATGGCGTTCCTCTAATCTGCCGTGATCCTCGGGAGGCCAGGCCTTGCTTGCTGAGTCCTACAGAGTTTTGAATCAGGTCCCATCGCCTCCCTTTCTAATTAAGCCTGGATCCATTTACATAACACGCATACCTCCCTCACCTGGCAAAGAGCGTTTCTTCCTACCAGGTCAGTGTTTGGATGACTTTTGCTGAGGAGAGAAAAGAGATTTAATTTCTAGCATTAAGGAAGTACCATGGGTTAAAATAATTTGTTCTTAGACAAGAGGCATTAGTAGCTTATCTCATTATACCACGCTAGTTAACCTCAGCAAAAGGTGACCTGCAAGCTAGATTTCAGATGCATCTCTGTTCACTTGTTTGCATCTCATACAAAGTGTAAACTGTAGTATTTAGTATGTGTAAATATATGTATACACACACTATTTAGTGTATATATGTACACACTACTTTTTAAATTTGAGAAAAGGGATCAGCAGCAGCTAATGCTTGTTGGGGAAGGTGCAGGATGAGAACAGTGTGCAGAGAGGCAGGGAGCGGACGCTCTGGCCCCGTACCGGTGCAGAGGGAGCGCGTGGACTTCACCACCGAAACACGGAGGCTGCGGAAGCGGTCTTTGGAATTTGACGTGGCGAGGGATGTAAGAGTTGTTTGGGTTTGAATGTTGATTCTCCCTCTGGCTTTGTGACTTGGGCAGGGCACTGGCCTTTCCCAAGCCATTTCCTCGTCGATAAACACGGGGTAGTCATACCTGCCTTGCAGATTAATCCGAGGGTTAAATGAGATCTTGCACCAGCACAGTTCCTGGCTCCTCGTGTAGGAATTAGCCAAATGTTTGTTTTCTTCCCATCTTTCTTTCTTGGTTAATGGGGACTGCATCAGGGCTCCCGAGGCCATCCCCAGTTCCGACGACTTTTCAGGACGCATAAGATTCAGCATACAGTTAACTCACAGTTCAGATTTACTGCAGTGTGAGGATACGAAGCAAAATCAGCAAAGGGAATCATGCAGGGGCGACGTGCAGAGAAACTGGGCACCAGCTTCCGGAGCCCTCACAGTGGAGTCACACAGGACACGCGCACCCTCCGGCCATGAGTTGTGTCAACGTGCGCAGAACGCTACCCGCCCAGAGACCCTGTGCCCAGGGTACTCGTCGTTGCTGGTCACGCAGGCATCCCCTGCCTGCTGCGCTCCCCAGCTCCAGACTCCCGAGAGGAAAGCGGGCCGTGCCAGAGCAAGCACTGTGAGCCACTGTCGGTCCTGTGGTGGCGAGCCCTCCCAAACCTCGGTCCCCAGTGCCAGCCCAGGGCCAGCCTTGCTGGTGGGCCTGTCTCAGAATAGCAGTTGCAGATCTGCCATGTACAAGGACAAATAAAATAAATACCTTAACTGGGTAGAAAACTTCTAGGATTGGTTTCTTGAAGGAATAGGTAAATATGTAAGTAATTTCAGAAAGAAGATGTTTGCCCGGCACTGGATGATCGATAATAATAAATTATTTTAATAAGAATAAATAATAAATTGTTTTTAAAAATATCCCAAGACTCCTAGAAAATTCCACTGAAATCACTACTGACCTACCCTCTCCAGGAATGCTGGCCAATTTGTATGCTGCCCTCAAGTAGGTACATTTTAGATGTTTGTTTGGTTATTATTTGGGCGAGATTTCAAACTTGTTGACACTAACATGTTGGTGCTGTCGTGTCCCACAAAGTGCCACCAACAGAGTCCTCCTAGCGGGCTAGCTGGGCCATGAGCCCAAGACAAGAGAGTCACGCTCGTAGCCTTTCTTTGAAAAGTGTGTGCTTTGACTCAGAATTCTTCCATTGATGAAAGAGGGGAAAACGTTTACCTGCAAGGGTATTTTGTGATACTGGTTTTTGTTTAAAAAGCTCAGGGCAAATGCTAACTATAGCTCTTGTTAATATCTGTAATAAACATTTAGGGCAGAGGTCTTTAATCTCAGTTCTGCGATAGTCTTTGGGGAGTCTGTGAATGTACGCAAACTGTTTAACGTTTGCCTCTGTCTGTTTTTCAGTTTCAAAGGGCTGTAGATTTTAGCAACTTAAAGGAATTTTGCCCTAATAAAGGTTTAGAACTCCTGATTTAGAGAAACAGATATAGGAGAGTTATTTTGTTGACATTAGGAGTTTTTGTGGGATGTCTCCTAAGTGCTCTAACTCTAATGTTTCTTCCCTGTAGGTATTGTACCGATGACATGTTGCAAAGAGAAATGATGTCCAATCCTTTTCTGGGTAGCTATGGGGTCATCATCTTAGATGACACACACGAAAGGAGCATCGCGACCGACGTGCTCCTTGGACTGCTTAAAGATGTCTTACTAGCGAGACCGGAACTGAAGCTCGTGATTAACTCCTCACCTCCCCTGATCAGCAAACTCAGCTCTTTCTATGGAAACGTGCCTCTCATCGAAGTGAAAAATAAGCACCCAGTGGAGGTCGTGTACCTCAGTGGGGCTCAAAAGGAATCTTTTGAGTCTGTCGTACACCTTATCTTTGAAATTCACCACTCTGGCGAGCAGGGTGACATTGTGGTCTTTCTGGCCTGTGAACAAGTAAGTATCACTCTCACCTGACTGGGTGATACGCGTTCTTACTGACCCCTGAACCCTGGTGGGGATGCTCTGAGTGTCCAGCGTAGAGCTCTCAGTGGGCATGTGCGGTCCCTCCTCGCCTCTCTCTCCGCACGTGGGAAGAAACGACAGGGTAAATAAAACCCGGGCTGCAGGGCAACAGGGAGGCGGTCCTGGAGTCACATCCAGTGAAAACAAAGAATGGGTGACACATCCTCGGAGTTTACAGGACCGATCTCCAGAGCCGGCCCCTGCCCACCCGCCCCGCCCCGTGCCAGCGCTGGCTGTGCCCAGGAGACTGTGTCTCAGAGGAGGCAGACGCCCGCCACACCGCACTCTCGCCGCCTCCCAAGGGTCGGGGCGTTTGCCGGAGCGGAAACGAAGTTCCCACAGGTGTTCCCACGCAGTCAGTGGGGTATGAGGCGGAACAGTGTAATTTACAGCCCACCCGGCAGGCTGTCTCCCACACTGCGGCTCCTTTTCTCAAAAAGAGGAATGAGAAAACTCTTAACTGGGATTCTCGAAAATGTCTTTTCAAAAGAACAATTGGAAATGTATAACCGAGTACCTGTTACTGCTTTGATACAGTCAGGGTGCCATTTAGGGTTGCATTTTTTTTTTTTTTCTTACAGCCACACTGACCCTACCTTCTCTGCTCTGTTGGCTGAATCTAAAAGCCTCTATGATCTCAAAAATCAGATCTTTCATCTTAGGGACTGATTTCTGGTCTTTTTTCCCTACCTATCACCTCACTCAGAGAATGAAAGCACTAGTTTTTAGACCATGTCCCAAATATGTAGCGATTCCAGCGATTACCCAGAAAGCAGGAAGTCGTTCAGTATTGGCCGAGGCACCAGCTGATCACCGACAAGCATCGCTGCGCTCTGCCACGGCCTTTCCTTAAGTGTTCACGTGCTTTCTAAACTACCTGCAGGAGTAGTTATTGTTCTATACTCGGTGCGTAAAGGATGACCGGTCCTCCTAGCCTTGGGAACGTTAGAGTTTTCTCAGGACAGATTTTACCTGACTCCAGAAATGCAGTAGAGTCTCCAATAGATGATAACTTAGCATATTTACCAAGTTTGTGTGTGTGGATTATACAGTATTCTGATTAGTAAATCTTCTGTTTACTAATATAGTAATTTCGTCTATCACCATTCCCTAACCTGGCATGATTCAAGGTGTCCAAGAAAGCCCTGAGGAAAGTTATAAAGTGCTGAAGGAGATAGGAGAAGAATTTATGAAAGCAATCAGAGGTTCTCAGTATGGCTGGGTGAAGCCTAAGGAAGGGAGAAAGGGCAAAATGAGAAGTCGAAACCATTTGAAAGTTAGAATCGCCAGGTGAAAAACAAGACATTCATCGCTGAGGAGAAAAAAAAAGTATAATTAAGACTGATAGGATGAGTATGCAAACATTCCAAAATGGATTTTTGGAAATCTTATAAAAGTTTGGGGGGAAGGGAGTAGATGGTCTTAGATTATTTGATTCTTGTAAGTTTAACATAAGCTGTAATTAATGGCATAGTGACTTTTAAATCGTCAGGCTCTAGAAGATGCATTTTCACCTAGGCTGGTAGTAGAAACAGTAGAAATGATAAAAATCCCAGGGCTTAGAAAGTTAAATAATCTTCCTCGAAGTCAGACCGGAAAGGCATTTCATTTCCTATTAAATAATCATCAGTCTCGTGGAGTCTTAAAATTTTGAAAATGACGGTGCAATGCTGGCCCCGGGGGGAGTTGGCAATTCTTCACCTCCGTCCGCCCGCCCGAGAAGGAGCAGGTGCTGCTGATCCAGCCCTGGGGTCTCTGAGGGAGGGGCCTCCCTCCCAGAGGCTCAGGGCCAGTGGTCTGCTGGCTTCCCCACACCTTTGTCCTCACAGCCCAGCCCCCAGTTCCACACCTGTTATCTGGTTTTCTTGTGCATCTACCACCTAACAAGCTGACACAGTTCAGCGTCCCAAGGGCCTTTTTTCTCTCTCATTAAGACGCCCCTCCCTCTGGTTTTGGAATCGGTCTCTTGGAAAAACTCTCCCTGTTAACAGCTGCCGATCATTCCCCTCTGCACCACCATCTGAAGCTTTCTTGATTTCTGTATAAAACTTTAAAGTCTGCCACAGCAATGAGATGTCACAGGAAAACAAACCCAGCCAGTCTAACAGAAATGTACTTATTGTCGCTTTTTCTTTTAAGAAATACATTTTAAATTGCAGCGATAACTCTCGAACACTTCCGTGTGCTGAGCGTTCGCTGCCTCACGTTTCTCTGCCTGCCAAGCCCTCCTGCTGGGAAGTGACACCCCCCCCATAAGTCATCTCCTGCGCTGTGTCTTTGTATCAGTGGAGACTTAGAGCCCTGAATGGTTGTAGCGTGTTGTTCCTTATCACTTAACTATCTTTTAACCTGAAAAAAAAGTGAAAATAGAAGACACGAGTTGAGATTCATAGCGCTATCTAGCCAAATTATTGTGCAGCTTTAAGCTGTCACAGAGAAGGTGCTGTTAGGTCAGGGTTTCCTAGGAAATGTCCTATCTCGTGGGTCTTTCATTTTGGGGGGCTTGCTATCTTTCGGTGTGTGTTGCTGTGTGTTATTGTGTGCAGGTAATTATGGGAAAGGCCAATGTATGTAGATGCACTGTACACACTGAATAAGCAAATTAGTAAATAAGTGATTTGAAGCACTGGGTGCATATTTTAAGCATTTTTTCAAATTCTGAAAGTTCTCAAATTCCTATATCAGCTGAGCTCGAAGAGTTTATCTATGTACAGTATCTGTTTCCGTTTTGCTCTGCTTTTTGCCTTTTGACGATTTCTTTTATTCTTTTTCTCCCCCCCCCCGCCATTAGAACAAATTCAACATTAGAACCCACCTACAACTAAAAAGTTTTAGCGATTAACTAGAAGGAAATAAAAAATGAGTGCCTCAAATTATTTCTTAGACAGTATTCTAAGAGAAATATTTGCATGCACCGTGAAGGGTTATTTTGATGGGAAATCGCTCAGGCATGGGCTACAGGAGTCGGAACTGGACCCAGGTTACTACGAGGGTGAAGCGAGGCCGGTGGAGGTGTGCTCCGGTGGCCGTGGGGGAAGGCACGCATGTCCCTGTGAGGCTGAGGTGCAGGGAGACGCAGCTCCAGCAACTGTTCTCGTCCCTGTACGCTCCCTTAATGTCCCATCTAAGCTACCCTCACGTTAAATGCTGAAGAAGCGATCAGAGTGATAAAGATGGAGAAGCAGTTCTGGTCTCATTATTCCATTTGGCAAGTTTTTATTCATTACCATCAATAGTCATGCTCTTTGGTGAAAATCTGTCCCAAGTAAACCAACTCTGGGCAGAAAGGGGAAGCCCGAGCAGAGTGTTCTGGATGCCGGCTCCTGTGGCGCCCGAGGGGGCCGCCTCTGTCCCTGCTTCCTGGGACTCAGCAGCTCAGGAACAACTTTCAAACAGCTCACCCAGGTGAGCTGTGATGCCTTGCAATTTTCCTAGGCAGATCTGTCTTCCTACAAAACGCTCGAATTAAGTCCCTTTCTGCAAATGGTGTGGAAGGAAGGAGTGAGCTGGAGCAACGTAAAACAGAGTAGTCTTAATAAAAACCGCAAGTCATGGGAAGCTGTCTTTCTTAGATTTTTAGCGAACTCTAATGACTAATGAAATGAAAAGGCTCTCCTTCTATTTTGCTGGTTAGGTAGAAGGTAGAAATTTTGGAAACATTAAAAAGGTATAAGAATTACATCGTGACATCTTTTTTATAGGAGGTTCTGAAAAACCAGTGATTTGAGAAAATGAAAAATACTATCTAAATGCCCTGCCGTTTGAGTTTTTTGCACAATTTCTTATATTTAGTTGTAGAGCAAAATAATTTACCTTTTTTCCCTGCTATATTTGACAGTGAAACATTTTTAAAGAGTAATTCTAAATGCCTGAATCATGTACAGATGTAAAATAGCAGTGAATATCTCCCTACTTCATTGCCTTTCTGCCATTTTGAAGTGCTAATGGGTAAAAATAATTTTCAGAATGACCTAGATAGAGACTGACTGCAGAATGTGTTTGTGTATGTGCTGTTATTGGAAGTCTAGAGATTGTTTTACAGTTCTTAGTTCCGCTACCATTAAAGCACAGTGGTGCGTCATCACCGAGGTGACAGTAACTTGTTTACCTGCCATCGTTAATGGATCTGAGAAACTGCAACAAGCTAGAAAAACAGGATGGATGCATAAGGCAAGCTAGTACATTGCACAAGGAGAAAACCATGTTGGACCAAAAATGATGAAATTGTTTATTATATTTAACTTCCCCCAAAGAAAGGTTCTCATCCAGTTACATCTTTTCTAATTTAATGATACACTTAGCAGCACAGATATTTCTTTCTCTGTATATATTATGCAGCCTTTGCCTATAGTTTTCATTTGGACCTTAAAAAAGTAGAAGTTGTTTATAATGTACTTTCTCATGGACGACAGTGGGGTTTTTTGTTTTTTTACTTTAGGATATTGAAAAAGCCTACGAAATCGTCTGTCAAGAAGGATCCAACTTAAACCCAGATCTCGGTGAGCTGGTGGTGGTCCCTTTGTATCCAAAAGAGAAATGTGCGTTGTTCAAGCCAAATGAGGAGACAGAAAAAAGAAGCCACGTTTATCAGAGAAGAGTGGTGTTGACGGCCAGCTCTGGAGAGTCTCTGATCTGGAGCAACACAGTCAGATTTGTCATCGACGTGGGCGTGGAAAGAAGAAAGGTAGTTATCATCGAGCGGGTCCAAGACACCTGGGCTGGTAACTGTCGAGGGTCAGTTTCTTGGATTCTTACCATTTTCTTGACCAGAAAGTGAGGATGAACTGCACGATCTGGGCATTTTCTGTGCTTGTCGTATATACAAAGAATTACTGCAGCCAGTAACGAAGGTCCTGACCACGTGTTACTGCCTTCGTTAGCATGCTGGTGGTCTGGAAACAAATCGAGGTGTGAGAGGAAGTGTATTGAAGTATAATGGTGATGGTTCTTCTTTCAGTGTTTTTTCTTTAGCTAAAGTACTAGCAAAGCAAATTGTTTGACTCCTAAACTCAGCTTTTCTTACGTACTAAGTATTTTGGTAGCCCATTTATCAAAGTAATTAGCATCTTCCCTCGGTAATTTACTGGAAATGAGTTACAAGTACCCTGACTTTAATTTGAGACGATTTCGGCTTTATAACTAAGATGATAGAATTCCAGCCTAAATTTTTTAAAAAAAAATGTTATTTCTTATCACTGCCTTTAAATTTAAAAAAATAGGAAAAATAGAAATAGGCTGTCTCAGACTCGCAAAGACACTTGAACTTGAGAAATCATAGCATTTAAGAAAAAAACAAACCTACCCAAGTATCGATCCGCTTAGCTGTTGTGCAGCTTTCATCCCTCCAGGAAACTGTGGGTGTCCTAAACACCCTCGTCTTACTATGACAGAGCAGTTCCCACCATTGGGAAGGTTTCCTGGGAACCAGTCTGGGCCAATCTTACTGAATTAGCCCACCCTTCAGAGAACCCCGGGTAGTGCCCCCTAAATGACCCGTAAGGGAATTCAGCGTTAGTGCCACGTGCACTCTCCGTACCAGCTGGTGTGCCTGGAAGAGCCCAGCTTAGCCGTAAAGGCGAGGCCACTGAGGTCACAGTCCGTTAAGAGTAGAACCTTGAAGCAGCAGCACTGTCAGGTGATAATCCTTTTCTGCAGGTGGCATACGAGTATGTCATCATTCACCAGTGTCACATTGAGAAGTGACAACACTAGTATTTCAGCAAATGATAGAGGTCCCATATTTATTGAAGCCACAATGAAAGCAGTCAACCTTTAAATCCATTTATCAAAGCACTGAGAGTTTCCATCTCAAGCAAGTGAAATAGTAATAAATATTGTACAGACAGGGAGCCTGTAGCAGAGCATTTCATGAGGTAAAGGGCTGCACACAGCGAGTCTGCCCCATTGTGAGTGGTCTGATGCTAAAGATGCTCTTTCCGTTTAAAGGTGTACAACCCGAGAATAAGGGCAAGCTCACTTGTCATGCAGCCCATCAGCCAGAGCCAGGCGGAGACACGCAAGCAGATTCTCGGCTCATCATCGTCAGGTAGCTCGACAGACACAGAGTGACTGACGTGTCCGCAGGCAACATGGACATTAGAGCCATTTCCCCTGCTTTCTTCCAGGAAAACTTTTCTGTCTGTACTCGGAAGAATTTGCCACCAAAGACATGCGGCCACTGAAGGCAGCCGAGATGCAGGAAGCCAACTTAACCAGCATGGTGCTCTTCATGAAGCGGGTAGACATTGCGGGCTTAGGCCACTGCGACCTCATGAACAGACCAGGTAGCTCTCTGCTCGCGCACGGGCAGGGCGTGGGGCTGACACGTCGCCTCTTACTGGTGCCCGTCCCCACTCCTGAGAGTAAGTGGCACTGGGTAGGGCGAGCAAGCATGGGATTTGGTTCTACTGAAGCATTTCCCCATGTGAGGTAAACATTCTCTAATGTGATTAACAACAACAGCAAAGCCCTCGGGCGCACTTATTCAGACACTGTGCGCCGTCGGCCAGCGGAGCGTCTGATACTAGAAAGCCATCTGCTGTGGCCAGCGGAGCGTAGGGAGCCTGCGGCCTGGAAGCCGGGAAGGGCAGCGAGTGTAGAAGGGGAGGCTGAAACCGAGAGAGGAAACGCAGAGTCCTGGCCACGGTAGAGCTTCTTGGTGGGAACATCTGCGGGCAAATGGCCCTCACTCATAACTCATGCCATCGCCAGGGGCAAAAATCCGCTGAAGGTCACTCTCTGTGATACGTTATTCCCTAGGGACCTCCTCGTTCAGGACGGGTGTCTGGAGGACCAGTCACGAAGGCAGAAAAGCAGGCTTCGTAATGTCAGAGAATTTAAAAAGCAAACGGCGACCATCGCAGTGCAGGAAAATTCCTGTGCCCGCTCAGTGGTCACCGCTGTGCCGCTTACCCCGTGAGGCTTAGAGCCGATAGCTGGGGGACAGAGGGTTAGGGTGACAATTTATTTCTGTCTCCTAACAGTACGCACATAACTCTTTTCTGCTGTGCTTGGGGGAAAGTGTAACTGTGGATCAACTCTCTTTGTTTTGGGAGGAAAGAAAAACACGATGCTCGCAGCTGCCACATTCAGTTCACCTTCTGAATGAAATGCGCAAATCCAGCAAACCCGTTTCCCTTTCAGGACCCGTGAACCGTGAGGAAGTGACTTTGGCGTAACTAGGCTGCAGGCTGTTAATTGGATTTCCTTGACATAGATCTTTTCTTTAAAAATCAGTAATTCTTCGTCCCTGGTGCTGAGGACTGACCTCCATCGTGAGTGACGGTCACTCTTGAGCTGGGTCGGGAAGCTCAGGACCAGGGGACCACGTCACAGAAGCGGGCGGTCTCAGCGGTCTGTCACCCCGCATACCCAGCGGTAGCGGGACAGAGGTTAGAGATGAGCTAGCCGAAATGGACGAGACCACACCAGATGTCGTCTCTGTACTTGGACTCAGAACTCACTTTGGCGGTGGCTTTGGAGTGAGCTATGAACGACGAAGCCACACACACACCTGCCACACGTGGCGTGCAGGACACGCAGGCCTCAGGAAGCGGGAAGCGTGCAGGCGGCGCATGGCAGGGACCGCAGGGGCCAGCGTGGCGCTGGTGGAGCCGGGCTCGAGATCCTGCAGGGGTGTGCTCTGTGCTGGTGGTGCCCGTCCCAGTGAGTCACGACCTTCTCGAATCGCACGCGGACTGCCAGCCTGGCGCGTGCGCTCACTCCAGTGCACGTGCTTCTGTTCCGAAGTTTACAGAAGGGCCTCAGAACGTGACAGTCTGCACCTTGAGGAGAATGGAGGGAAGTGGCCCTTGCCAGGGGCCTCGCCGCAGACCCTCTGCCCGCAGCAGGGCTGTGTGGCGGCTCAGCCCGAGGAGCTCCGGGGCCAGCGGTCCTCTTAACGGGAACCCAGTCTGGGTCTCCAGACGAGTGAAGGCTGCGCTGTTATCCGTCTCAAGGGCCACACAACGTTACTGCTAACGCAGATGGCCGGGGTGGAGCGTGAAAGCGGCAGACGTGCCAGAACCACTCCAGAGCCAGTATACGGGGACCTTGGAAGGCGAAGTGATCTCATGGGAAGTGGAAACGGAACCTGGGAGAGGTTTCAAGAGGCAGAGAATGGAAGCAGTGTCGGCTCTCGATGCCCCTTGGGCTCCTGCTGGCCCAGTGACCGTGTGACTTACTATTCAAACCAAGACGTTGGAGAGCGAACGGGGACGCTGCTCATGACTGCGCTTGGGTGAAGGGTGGGGTCGGGGGCATCCTCGCCGCACCGGGACAGAGGGTCACCCAGAGCCAGGGCCACACAGAAAGCTCAGGCTCTTAGGGACCGCCGGGGCTCCAGGCCCGGCCCGCGCTCCCAAGCTGGGTAACGGGCGCTTCTGTGATTCAGTAGCTCTCCCGTTTCTTCATCTGAACGTGCACGTGACCTAAGGTGTTCGTTCAGAGTCGAGGTAAGCATAGTGTAGGCCCCTGAGAAAGTGACCGGCAAAATAGTAAACTGTGCAGCGGTCATCACCTGCAGAACCTCTGCCTGGACTCTGAAACCCAAGACTCGCGAGCCGGAGCCGCCTCACGGAGGACAGCTTTGTGCGGTGCAGGAAGCAGCACCTGGGCACCTCTGAGAAGCCGCGGTCGCCGACAGCAGAGCATCGCGCCTGCAGCCAGAAGAGAGGCGTCCAGCGGCGGCTGTGTTGGCATCACCGGATACAGTGGACGCTGCCGGCGAAAGGCCTGGGTTCAAGTCCTCATTCTACAGCCGAGGAGACAGGCTGGCTAGGCCTGGCTCTGGTGCGTCCCTCACCGTTCTCTCTTCTGTACTTGAGGCTGGAGCGTCTGCCCTCGCATTTCATGGCGTTATTAAGAGGTTCAGAGGGGGGTGTTTATGCAGAAGTGTTGTGCACACCATAGAGGAGTGGGAGCTGGGCAAATGGCAGGTCTTGTGAGCATGTCCCTGTGAAACAAACTTCAAGAAGCCTTTCCTGCCTTTTTCAGAGCCAGATCCCTAATCCTACTCCCCAAAAGTCCCAAGACTTTTCAGAGTCCGCCGTCAAACCAGGGCCATCTGTAGGTTCTTCCACATCTCCCTCTGCGGACTCCTCAGTGTACACGATGCCAAGTCCCCGGGCTAAACCCGTCGGCACCGGCATCTCCATTTTCTCCTTCCGCCCTCTCCAGCTGTCCCTGTTTCTCTGTGTCCGTCTGCTCGCCCGTGCAGCCAGTGCCTGTTCCTGCCGCACGCTGAGCACCTCGTCAGCGTGATGGTTACCGTTTGTTCCCCGCCAGCTCCGTCCTGCCCCTGAGTGCGTACCCTCCTCCTTTGTCACGGCATTTACTGTCATGGTGCATTTCAGAATTCTGCGTGCAGGGTCCCAGAGTGCAACTCCAACTAGCTAAGCAGCAGTGAATTACGTAAGGAAACCGGGTGTCTTAGGAAGTCCAAGACGAGAACATGGCTGTGCCTCAGGGACGCCTGGAAATAGAGACTGGACAGCACTGGCACTTGGTTCTGGCCTCCGCGTCTCTTGGCTCCCCGCGCTCTCCTGCTGAGTGCCTGAGGAGATGCCCCCACTAGGTGGGAATCGGCAACCTGCGATGCCCACCATTGATATCTGCAGTTTGGGCAGACACTTTATACATAGGAAACAAGCCACGTGAGGCAGTGGGTTCTGGAATGATGCCTCGTCCGGACTGCTCTCCTGCTCAGTGACACTGGGCCAGGCCTTTCCCCGCAGGGACACTCACCCCGTTACAGATCGGCCACCCTTGTTCTGCTGATGCCATGGAAGGAAGACACAGCCGCAGCCTTGGAGCTTGGCACACGGGTCCCACGGAACAGTCGAGGAATACTAGAGTAATGGCTCTCAGGTTACTCTGAGTGATGACGGTGTGTGTGGGTGAGGCAAGGGGGGTGGTCCTACGGCTACTATTGGCCATAAAGTGTAATAAAGATGATGTTCATATTGAAATTGCCTTCAAAATACAGCAGTCTGATTTCGCACTGCTGTAAGGAAGAGGCCTCACAGTACAGCACGTACATTCCGCCAGCAGCATTTCCCACGGATTGCACCTAACCAGCACTGCCAGAGAGGACCCTCCTCTAAACCCCCTGCTTTTGACTAAGATATTTTCTGGGCCACACAGCGGCTACGTCGCAAAATGCAGAATGTAACATTAGCGCGTCCTGCTCAGCTACTGCCGCTCCTCCGGCCGCGTTCATCAGCTGGTTCTTGCTACTGCAATAAAGCCAGGGACGTCCTCTGTTCTGCTGTCAGGACAGAGAGCGGAACCACAGCGTCTTTTCTGTTGGTGATCCTGTGTGCTACCAACCGGACCCCATGAGTAGGTGCCCTTTGGGGACAGACGCTTATAGGGACAGTTGCCGGAGAGCCTGTGGCTTATAATGCAGCAGCTTTGCTGATTTACAGACGTTGGTCTCTGAAGAGCTAACCGTGATTCCCTTGCGCTCCCAGGCCCTCCTGCTTCATCTGGCCTGCGGTGCTGATTTTGGCTGTCGCCGTTTGCACCTTCAGCAGCTCAGCGGTTCCTCGTCTCGTGGCTCACTGATGGGACACTTGGGCTTTCACTTCCGAATAGCCCATCTGTTTCCTTCTGGGACCGAGATTTCTCAAGGTCTCATCTTTGCCCCAGTGTCTCCAAGAACGAACAAGGAGTTCTCCAGTGCCCCGTGCCGGGACCCAGGAGGGACCCAGGAGTCAGAGCCCAGGCTAGGAACCTCCTGCGGGCCGCGCTCTTCTCAGAATGGAATCTTGAGAGAAATCGCAAACAGGGAAGCTGAACTTCTTTCCTCTCCGCTGAGGATTAAAGCTGTGCTTTCGAGTCTTCCGGCAGATGTCTGCATTCTCGGCAGTTTTGCCATGGGCTCCCTCTTACAGGCCCCTCGGCCCGACACGTGCTGTTCCCAGGAACTGCTCCTGTGCTCGCAGTCCATGTGCCGAAGGCTGAAACCATCCATGCCCGTTACTCGCTCTGCTCTTCCCCAGCAACACGGCTGGAGATGTGACAAAGGGCCCAGCAGCACCAGCGAGTCCCTTCTCAGCCCACAGCGGTGACCCCTCCCAGGGTTGTCGTCCCGTCTTTATAGGAATGGGTGCATTTTATCAGATCTGCAGTGGTGACTGACTTTCAAATTATACAGTTTGCTTAAAGTTTTGACAAGTAGCTTAGCGGTCAAGGTTTGGACAGCACATAAGTAAATTTTCACTGTCTGTTACTTTGAACTCCCAGATGCCCCCAGGTCACCGCTGCTTAGGTCCCGTCGTCCATGCACATGTTGGAATTGAGCCCAGTGAGAGCAACTCTCGTAAGCCCTCTGGCTTCCTGTGCAGGACAGTACAGCAGCTTTGTACTGTGCGATTTGCTTCTGTGTGGCCTTCATTGCTACACCACAGCAGACAGGTGAAACACATACTTAATATAAACTGATTCCACAAGGGCAAGAATACCTTTCTTTGAACAAATGGATTATCTTTTTTGGTGGAGATTAAGCATATATAATAAACACCACACCATTATCAATGTTATCTAAGCTTAAGAGAAATAAAGGATGGAGAAAATCAGTTTTCTGTCCGTATTTGCGCTGGCAACTAACTTTTAACATCTTGTCTACTATTTCTGTCATCTGCGTGAGTTCGGAGTCCGTCTCGATTGGTTAATTTCTCCTTAATCTTATTTTCCTGTTTTCCTGCCGCGTAACGTTTTGGATGCTGGACACTGCGCATTTCACTGTGTTGGGTACTGGATATCTGTGTTCCTAGAGCCCTCCCTGAGCCTTGTCCTGGGATGCAGTGTGATCCTTCCAGGTTCCAGCTTTAGGATGTTAAGTGGCACAGTGCCCACCTGGGCAGAGTTACCGTCTGTTTCCTGCCAGGGCCCCACGAACCAGTCTGGCTGGTATAGGCGGGCGGTACCCTAGACCGTGTGCAAGCCCCAGGCACCGACCCTCAAAGCCTGGATGCTGTTCCCCTGGCCTAGGCTGGTGTTTTGCGTGTGTTCTGTGACCGGTCAAGGGGACTCTCGTAGGCCACCTGAGTCCTCTCTCTTCTCAGGTTCTCCGACCTGCTAGCTCCTTAGCCTCCCACGACCTGCACCGTGCAGGCAGTCCAGCGGGCTGCACCTGGGTCCCCCTCCCCACACACAGCCTGGGGACGCAAGGCAGCAAGCTGCGCGCTCACAGGGCTCCCTTCTGTCCCCCGCTCAGCAGTCAGCCCTTCATTGCCTGCTGTTGTCTTCAAACTTGTTTCCTATGTTTTGTTTGTTGCCTCCATGTGGGAGGGAAAATTCAGTACCTGTTACTCCGTCTCGGTCGTATGAGACTTTGTGATGTTTTTTCTTTCCCAGCCCCGGAAAGCTTGATGCAGGCTTTGGAAGACTTGGATTACCTGGCAGCCCTGGACAACGACGGAAATCTCTCTGAATTTGGAATCATCATGTCAGAGTTTCCTCTCGATCCGCAGCTCTCAAAGTCTATCTTAGCATCCTGTGAATTTGACTGTGTGGATGAAATGCTGACAATCGCGGCCATGGTCACAGGTATTCCTTCAGAACTGTTCCGTATTATGAATCTGCACCCGGTATGGATTTAAGCGAGATCCGTTTAAAGGGGTGATATTTTAATAGATTCAAAAGGAATAAAATTATAAGAATTATCTTAATATGAAAAAATCTAAACCTAGTGAATTTTTTTAGGCGAGGCAACCCTTGGTTGATCTTACAGATTGCAAGGACCTTGTCAGCTTATTTTTTATTTTTAACGCCTACAGCACCTGGTCTTCCGAGGTGGTCTCCCATCCAAGCACTAACCAGGCCCGACCCTGCTTAGCTTCCGAGATCAGACGGGATCGGGCTTGGTTAGGGTAGCATGGCTGTAGACCACCAGGGTACTTTTAAGCATTAGAAAAAACAATCTGATCCAATTCATCTCAAATTTACTTGAGAGTCCATCTTTAAATAGCTCTCCATGTCAGTTACCCGCCATCTTCTGATGCCTGCAAAGTGTGAAGCAGAGTGTTTGGGTGGGGTACTAACCAGGCCCAACCCTGCTTAGCTTCTGAGATCAGATGAGATCAGCCTTGCTCAGGGTGGCGTGGCTATAGACTAAACCTAGTGAATTTCTTAATCAGACATGTGAAAGCATACCAAGTTTGCTTCTGCTGATGTAGTCAGCAAAAAGCAAGAAAAATCTGAAGAAAAATGTGTCACTAGAAGTGTTCTTCCCCAAATGATGGTGTGTGCGTGTTTTTTATCTCGTAACACCTTCGTTCATCTTGGTTTATGTCTAGATTTATTCGTTTACTGGCAGAACGGACCAAAGGCTGTGCTGCATGAGACCTTCTGTTCTGATCCTGTCTCCCGCCTGGCGTCTGAGCGCCCAGCCCCTGTCCCTCTGTAACATAAGCCGGGTACTGACTTATTGAGCAGGCCTGAGAAAAGCAAACAAGGAGAAAAACGTGCCAACTCTCCCTAAATTCCTTTGACTTCTAAGTAAACAGGGCCTGGTATTCAGTGTAAGAACCCCCGTAGCACAAACAGCTGCGAGCCCGGCAGTGCTGCGCTAACGTGAAGTCTCCGTTACCGACGACCTCGTGACCTTTTGCATCTTACAGCTCCCAGCTGCTTTTCGCGTCTGCCGCGCGGAGCCGAGGCGGCTGCCTTGACTTGCTGGAAGACATTTTTACATCCCGAGGGAGATCACTTTACCCTCATCAACATTTACAAGGCCTACCAAGACGCGACTCTGAACTCTACCAGCGAGCGTAAGTGCATGCTGTGATTCTCCTTCCCAGATTAAGCTGGGTGCTTATTCACCAAACACCCTTTCTCTGGCCCCATGGGTCACTTCAGGGGCGTGGCGCTTGAGGCCCTCGCTGCACCGCTGGTTCCTGGCCACACAGTCCGGCTCTTAGAGCTCTGGCGGCTGCAGGGGACCTGTACTCAGACCCCCGGGTCCAGCTCCGCCAGCCCTCAGCGAGCCTGCCTTGGGCAAGGTGACCTGGGGACAGACTTGCTCAGCACAGCTCCTCTGCTCTGGTCTGGGGAGGAGGAAGAGGAATGCCATCTCTAGGTGCCTGCGGGTCAGAGCTGTGCTTTGTGCTTTCCATGTCTGGCAGTCACTGCCAGCTGGAAAGAGAACACGGAGCATTCGAAACAGAGAAAACCAAAACACCCCGCCACAGACAGCGGTAAGGAACGGGCTGGAGGGAATGGCCAGAGCTCGGCAGAGGGGCGAGGGGAGAAGGGCCAGGGGAGCAGAATGGCGGACGCACCCGGTAACAGGGCTGGGCACTCCTCAGGTGCGCCCCTGGGCTGGGTGCAGGGACAGGACGGGCTCTCAGGGTGGAGAAGGCCGAGTGGAGGCTGCCAGGGCAGTGCCTGTCCTTCAAGGATGGCTGATGTCACCTTCGTTTTCCTCAAAGCCGCTTTTACCATCTTTGCTCCGATGGACGGTACGTAAACTACGTGAGGGACAGCAGTCTGAGTGGCAGTGGGGTCCTGTAGAGCAGGGAGCTCGTTTTTCACAGCTGAGAAGAAAACAGTGCAGCCAGAAAGGACACGGGGATTCGGGCGCCGACACGCGGCCGCTCTTGCTGCTCCGAACAGGCCGGAGCGGACAGCACGGGGTCGAGGGTCTCTGCCCTCTGTGCAAGGCCACGGGCGCTGCCAGGTCAGGGCAAAATTCCAGTCCTCCCTGAGTGACTGTAGGTGGCGAGGAAGAATAACGTGAAACTGAACCAGGTGACTGAATTTTAACATGAAACGTGCAGCTAGGGCAGCTTCGCTGTAACATACGTCCCAAATCAGCCTAGCGGTGACCCTTTCCTCATGATAGTGTGCGAGAAAATTCCATGGGTCGGAGGACTTCATACTGCCAGCCTTCCCCTCCCAGTTGGATCGAATGTGACCGTCCACCCTTGCCGTCACACACGAGACAGTGCCGACCCTGAGACCACGTCCTCTGCCCCTTACGAGGCACAGACCTCGCGAGGGTCAGCACCAGAAAGTCCCCAGCCCCGTGGGATCGTGGGAACCACAGAGCCAGTTAGGTCCTGCCAGCGGCGCTTCTCCCTTCCTTAGCAGCAGCACAGACAATCTCGCAGCCACCAGAGGTCTTTGTCCGTGTCGCCTCCCCACTCACGCATGTGACCTTCCGAGAGGACAGAGGATGCAGAGACAGCGCCTTCCCGCTGGGCTCTGCCTGCTCCCGGCAGATCACTTCTAAATGACCTGTGGCCCTTCTCCCCCCAGACTGTGTTGAAAAATGGTGTCAGGACTACTTCCTCAACTGTTCTGCGCTCAGAATGGCCGACGTCATCCGAGCGGAACTCGTAGAAATCATCAAGCGGATCGAGCTTCCCTACGCGGAGCCTGCTTTCGGCTCCAAGGAGAACGCGCTGAACATAAAGAAAGCCCTGCTGTCCGGCTACTTCATGCAGGTGAGCGGCGCGGCCGCCCTCACTGCGGTCCTCGCGGGACGGCACGCTCGGGACGTTCCGTCAGGAATCGCGCCCGCAGGATGATTTTGTTGTTAACCTTAAAACAAAAACCCTCATGTTATTAGAGATTTAGTGTCTAGACCTGCACCCCGTCAAGGGAAGGGAGGGCTAAGCCAGAATATGTTAACTTGTCCAAAGGGACAAAAGATCTTTTTTCGTTACAAAGGGCGAGTTGTGAAGACACTCTCTTTGGATGAACGTCAGATCGAGTCCCTCATGTCACCTGCCTGCGAACTGGCTCACGTTTAACCGGTGATAGAATGCCCCATGCCCGAGGCGATGTCTCATTTGCTTCTTCCCCAGAGTGAAGGCGGCCCAGCCCCCCGCCTTCAAGCACATGACGGGGGAAGGTGTGCTTTTTGCATCATGCCACAGAAACTAAAGCAGTCAATGAACAAAAGAGCCATTTAGCTTGGATTTCTTCCTCTGGGAAAAGTTAGGTACCTATATCGCAGGGTTATCAGGAGGATTAAGTGAGCTATACTATCCAGTGGAAAGCACTTGACGTTTGAGTATGTGGTCCACGTGTGGCAGGGAACATGCTAGCTTTATTTCGTGACCAAAATGTAAACCTGTGTAGCTGCCCTGCAATTGCTACAGTCAGTCAACATCATCATTACTGCCTCTAAGTTTTGGGTAAAACACGTTCACGTCTCATTTCCTCTGTCTGAAAACAGGAAACATGGGTGGCAAATGTGTAGTTCTAATTATTATTTATGAAACACTTTGGAATTTTTAAAACATTTTTGTCAAGCCAGATCCCATCTGATCTCGAAAGCTAAGCAGGGTTGGGCCTGGTTAGTACTTGGATGGGAGACTACCTAGGAAGACCAGGTGCTGTAGATGTAAAAAATAAAAAAATAAGGGATTGTAAGTTGACAAGGTCCTTGCAATCTGTGAGGTCAACCAAGGGTTGCCTCACCCCAAAAAATAAAAATAAATCTATAATACATTTTTGTGTATTGATCGCCATGTGAATGCAAAATCTTTTTTCTTTAACACTCTGCCTTTCAGATTGCTCGGGATGTGGACGGGTCCGGTAACTACCTGATGCTGACGCACAAGCAGGTGGCCCAGCTGCACCCCCTGTCTAGTTACTCCATCACCAAGACGACGCCAGAGTGGGTTCTCTTCCACAAGTTCAGCATCTCCGAGAACAACTACGTCAGGATCACCTCAGAAACCTCTCCTGAGCTGTACGTTCCGTAGAGAAAAAAAGGGTTTCTTTTGAATTCGTACTTGAAGAGTACATGAGAAATTGGGTTATTACGTTTTCAGTTATGAGTGTATCCCGGTGGCAACCAAAGCTTCTGTCGAGAGTGCCTCCTAAAGGCAAGTCTCTGGATAATTGCCTGAGAAACGTCCCTGCCTTTAAGGTTACACTATAAAGACAGAATACGTTATAGGAACATAAAACAAAGCACAGTGCCTCTTAAGAGGAACAGAATGCTGCAGAGAAACAGTACTGGCAGGGCAGACCATGAGAGGGAGTGAGCTCGGCCATCTCCGAAAAAGATGAGCCACTGAGCGTGGAGCTAGTCAGAAGGGAAGGGGTGAGGCGAGGGTGAAGACGGGCAGGTACCAGAGCGGCAGGGCTCATGGGCCACACCAGGAATTTGGAGTTTATCCCAAGTACAGTAAAAGCAACTGGAGAGTTTTAAGCGAGGGTGGCATCTTCTCCATACTTTTAAAGGTCACTCTGGCAGCCAAGTGAATGGGCTTAGAGGGGCAGTAGTGAGAATGGACACTGGTCTCTCAGGCTATTGCAGATGCTGGGTCCGTTTCGAAGGTACCACTGCTGCTTGGGCAGAGTGATGCTCTGGGTAGGAACCAAGAGAACCTAATGCGTGTCTGGCTTCAGCAGCTAGATGTGGAACAGGATTAGTTAATAACAGAAAGAGGCAAAGACGCTCCCTCTTACCCGCCCGAAGTTCTCCCCAGCATCTGATCTGATCCTGCACATAGTCTGATGGGTCTTAGGGGAAGTAACAGTTTCCCCTAGTGGTTAGCAGTGGCCATCACTTCCACTGGCATAGCACTAGAAACGCCAGCTTATCCCAGAAATGGTACTGGATTGGTCCATAAAAACGGTATGAAGTGTTTATGCTACAAAGGCAGACTAAGACTGAGGAGTTCAAGCTAAACAACAGTTCTACAAACAGATTCTCCAGAGCTGGGAAGTGCTCAGCCATGATGTTTGATCTCTCTCATAAAAAATAATAATTATTTTTATTACTAATTAAAATTTTGTTTTAAACAGATTTATGCAGCTGGCACCACAATACTATTTCAGTAACCTGCCTCCTAGTGAAAGCAAGGATATTCTACAGCAAGTAGTGGACCACCTATCACCTATTTCAACAATGAAAAAGGAACAGAAAATATGTGAAAAGTGCCCTGAAACTACTGAGCAAAGATGCACTCTCCAGTGACTTTAGAACCTTCTACACAAAACATGATGTGCAATACGTATCGCAAAGGCAGCCTACCTGGTCCGCTGGAGAGGTGCAGATATCCCACGACAAGGAGTCTCCCACCCCACAGAGGATAGTCTTGAAAAATTAACACTTTGTATGTTATTTGAAAATAAAAAAATAGAAGTTTTTAATGAGTTCTTTAAATAACTACTCCATGTTTTTCTTCTTATTGGGAAAGTTTTTAATCAACTATTCATAATTTGACCAAAATTTAAAAATAAAAAACAAAAAACGTATTTTGTAAATGTGTCACAGACACAGGCAACAGAACCCTACTTTTTGTAGAGGACCTAAATCTAAATAAAGTCATCAGTTTTTCAGTAAATCTCCACTGAGTTTTCTGGTAATTTTACAAAAACAAGCACCCCACTGTCCGTGGGAAATGGGCTAGACAGACAGATGATCTTTCAGCTTATCCATGATTTCATTCATCTTGTCGCATGGAATTAACATCACCGTTCGCAAGGGCTTCATTGGTACGTCATCGAAGGACCACCTGCCTCCCAGACATGTGTCGCTCTCCTCCTGCACCGAATAGCTGAACTTCAGGATCGCCTTCTAAACCACAGAAATAACCATGAACGTAGAAATGAGACAACCTAAACGCAAACTCTCTTAATCGACAACAAAGAATACTACATAAGAACGGCAGCTACAGAAGGAAAACTCAGTAACGTAAGCTCGAATGGGACATTTGAGCAAGTTACAAAAAACGCTCACCAGCAGGTTTTAACCCACAGACGTGTCCCAGTGCTCAGAGGTGAATAAGCCGCTAAGTGATCTCTACCCCCTTCTACACTGTCCGTAATTCTGAAGTCACTCATATTCATGACCTCATTTGATTCACAAAATAATCTAATGAAAGACAAGCAAAATTAAGTCACATAACGCTTGACAATAAGAACCTTCAAATGCTGGTCTCCCAGTGGCCCAGCTGCTTCGTTGGCATAAAGCTGTGTGTGAAGACAGGCTGGTTTGCATAATCAGGCCATCTTAAAGCACCCATAAATATTCCCCCCGAACTGACTGCCTGAGGTGCTACGGCATAAATTTTTTAAATTTAATTGTCACTATTTAATTTTCTTCCTAAAAAACAAGATCAGAGCAAATCTGTAGTGCTTTAGTCTTTAGTCAACATCTTCAAAGTAATGTGATATCATCCAATCGAGCAAAATACGTTCCCTTTGAGAATTACTTAACATTTCAGAGAAGAGATATTTGGTTGTCTGTCACAGCACAAGCTACCTTTATAGGAAGAAGATGCTAGAAACCCCACCAATGGGATGACATCCAGGACTAAGGGCACAGAGCGACACGTGAGCCAGCATGGGAGAGCAGGGGTCCACCCGCTTCCACACCGACCGGCTGTGTGATCTGAGTGGCTCCAACCTCCCTCAGACTCAGCGTCCCCATCTGTCAACCTAGGCTAACGTCCACGTCACGGAGCAGTTTGACATCAGACCCCACGGTTAGCGTATTAGAAACACCGATCCCTCTGAGCACATTCACCGACTGTCTCCTCCCCACACTCATCACCGACCTGAGAACCAGCGTGTGCCAAGCACCATGTTAGCTGCCGGCTGCTGGGGAATACGGAGGACAGAGTGGCCACGCTCAAGGGCTCTGACATAAACTAGGAGAGCGATGAAGCCCGATCCCGCCGGGGCCCTTCCGCGCGTCCCGACAAGCGGCCTCACCTCGTGGAAGAACTCCTCCTCCGCGTTCGCGAACAGCAGCTCGTCCTCCCCGTGGCTGCGCCACGTCCTTCCGGGGTTGCTTTTTCCTGCTCCCACAAACGTCTTGCTAATCAGAAGGTAGAAGCAGCACCTCCCACATGGCTTGTTGGTTTTGTGGGCCTCTGCTAGTTCCTTCCTGCAAGGCAGACACACAGAGGTTTGCCCGCTGGGTCAGCAGAAGTCAGTCCGTCAACAAACCAGAGCACAGGGAAGCCAGTGAGGCCTCAGTGGGCTCTGCTGTGACACAGGCTCGATGAGCAGACACTCTTAAAGCAGTGAGTTCTATTACAACGTCAGCTGCACTTCTCATCGACTGTGGCGGTGCTGCTTAAAATAGTGTAATGAATCTCTCAGGTTAGGCTCTTGGTCTGGATACAGTGCAAGCAACAGATGAGTCTCAAATTCACTCGACATCTGATGGTGCAGAAGTTAAAGAGAGATAAGAATCTGCATTTTCTGAAACGACACACATTTAACTAAAACACACACGGGCACGTGGCTGTAACCAATGCCATCGGCACATGTGACTACTACGGTCTCACCACTGGAGTCCGGGGCTGCTTTCCGACACTGAAGAGATGCCACGGCAAGGCAGACACCCGAAACCCTCCAGTCCTCGTGGGAGAGTAACGAAGCCTTCACTTTCTTCCCTTTCTGAAAATTATACCAAATCCTCTGCGCCTGGCTAAACGAAAACTGTGAAGAAAGTCTGAACTACCCACTTCAGCTTTAAGAGGGTAAGGAGAGCGCAGATCGCCCTCCTGGAAAACCAAATACACACGCGCTCCAGCCGATCAGGGAAAAAGGCCAGAACAAAGACGCTGTGGCCGAAGTACAATGAGTCGCAGCTGAGGGAAGGAGAAGGGGGAGACAGAAAGAGGAAAATGAAAACGCAGTGACTTTATGAAGGAAAAACGGGACAGGGAAAGGCTTCCTGACTACACCTGCTCCCCACAAACTGCGTAAAGGGGACCCACAATACAAGTCTATGTCCTCTGTAAAGCCGGGGAGCCACCTGCATGTTCATCCTCCTCTGTTTCAAAGCACAGAAAATACCAAGTCTTAGCCTGTCTTACATTTAAAGTACTTCTGTAAACTTAAAACTGCATTTAAAAATACAACACCACACCCTGAGAAGCCAGAAACGCAGTATCAAGATGATGGTTCCATCAGTTATCCTAATGGAATTTAGAAATTTTACTCACTTTCTATTATTGTCATAATTATTCAGTATTTGATGCGTGTTACAAAAATCTATCTGTGAAGAGGGTGAAAAACTTGTCAAATAGGGCTAAAGTCTATATGAAGCTCATCTATTTGCATACCATTTAGGTCTTTAAGAGTACTGAGACTGTTTTCACAAGTCTTAACAATTAAAACTCTGAAAAACCGGCTGAGAACACACGCCTCTCACAGGCTGTTCCCTCCCCTCGCACCACGCTGCTGCGTCAGCCAAGGACGGAACTCTTCCTGTACCGACATCCTCATATTCTACTTAATTACGCTTCTGAATCCACTTGGAAAAACGCTACTGTTGGAGGCGTCCCCACCGTCTCTTACTGAAGCTGCTGGTGCATGGGCAGCGCGACCTGCGGAGGGACGTTGATGAAGCGCTCGCTCAGGAGAAAGCCCACCGGCTTGGTGGTGTCGTTCAAAAGTTTGTCCAGCTGCTCAACCACGCTCTTCTCGCAGTTCTTCTCACAGGAGCTTAGAATCAACTCTTTAATTTGTTCAGCGCACTGGGTGCCCTGGAAAGCAAAGAGAAGGCTTTACTCAGGCCATCGCAGGGGAGAGCCTGAAAGTGAGGACTGACACTTTTCATCCGCAGGTAAGGGCAGTTTCCTGCCACAGCCTTTAAAATCTCGTCTTTGGTTGCTCGCTTAAGTGTTCCTCAGAAGTCACTACGCCTGGTTATGTACCGTGTCAGTGATGAGGTTACAGCACACTAATACTAAGGCACACAGGCACGGCAATTGCAGTTCACTGCATAGACTGATGGAAATAACTGGAAAGTTCATTTACAAATTAAAGATAAAGTGCAGCCCATCTTACTTGAGGAGGCTGGACAGCTGCTTTTGCTCTTTATTAGAACTCATCAATGAGGAACAAAAACAGACGAATGGAAACACAAGTAAATGTCAGTGCCCTCAACTTCAGGAAGCAACGAAGCCTCAGAGACAATGAAAACATCTGCGGAGGCAGCTCAAACAGCTCCTGTGTCAACACCAACATCAGAACTGCAGTTCCTGTAATGCCACATGACGACTGTCTATACTGCAGGGAGGAAATGGCTTTAACTGGGTACAGGTTATTCAAAACAAAACAAAAACACCTTCATATTGAAAAAAGAATTACAGTAAGACTTCACGAGAGCACGAAGCCTTAAATTAACATCACTGTCTGACATAAAGGACACTTTCATCGTGCATTAAATAAAGATGGTTCTGGCCAAACAAATAACCGTTCAGATGCCACCCAGTGAAACCAACCTTTCTTTCAGTTAAATTTAGAAGACTTATGAAACCAAAAATCTCATCTTCATCCATGTCGTCGTCACTGTCTTCCGAAACATCCGTTTGCTGTTAAAAATAAATAAATAAATTTTAGATTTGGTTGGAAATCCAGGCCTCATTACTCTTCGCTTTTGAGATCAAACTTTGTTTTACTATCGCCACCTTAGAAAAGCGTCAGGGCCCAACTGCTGCGTGGCCGCCTTACCACTTTGCCTCCCTTGACTCTGCTCCTCGTTTTACATCCTGGACACTTTCTTCCTGCTCCAAATTTATTTATGCTAGATTCTTATAACATTTTCTTTACTATATTCTCAACACGTTATAAATCCAGAACAGGTGAAACCTCATGAAAGAAACCACATTAGTCTATTTTCGAAAGAACCTGGCCGGAGCCAGCCCTGGCTTGTTCTTTGGTGGGTCCACAGCACTCTCACCTAAAATTCATGGGCTTCCAGAGCACGCGCCAGTCCGGACCACTGTGGAAGGCGAACGATGCTGCGTGCCACTTACTCCTACCACGTGGGCAGGAGAAAAGAAAGAGGGCAAGAATGAAGAAAACGGAACCGAGAATGAAAGGCTTGACTCCAACTTGAGCTTCCTGGCTCTACTATGACAGCCCTTCCCCTGGGAGGCTTCAACGTGTCATCCACACATTCCTTCATGTGCCCAAGTTGCAAAGTCCCTGCACTGCATCCCCTGCACCGAGCACGGAGCCTGGCCCAGACAGTCCTCGGGAAGGATGTGCCGAGCAAGTAAAATGAAATGGGGAGGCTGCTTCTCTGCCTCCACAGCAGGGACCCACCACTGCCCCGCCCTGTCCTTGAACTTGTTCTGTGGGATGGGCCTCACAAACCCCTGCCACATCTTCCGCCGCCACTGGGTCAGTCAGATGAGGTAGACATCATCCAGACACCAAGACGCCCCAGTGGCCTGGGCAGAGAACAGAGCAGAACCTGCCTCTGTGGAGGCAGATGACAAACCAGACCAGGGACCTCAGGAGAGTCCAGGGCACACTGGAGGGCCCAAGGGGCAAAGCGGCTCCTGGACTGACGCTGACTCTGCTGCTGCCGCTGCGGGGACGAGGGCGGGCGGGTGGCTACAGTAAGGCGTCAAAGGCTTACGGAACTGCCGAGATGACAGGAGTCTCAAGCTCAACAAATAAGAGGATGCGAACATAGAAACGAGCAGGTTAAGTCGGGGGAGACTGGCAGTTCCAGGGAGAGGACCACAGGCATGTTTGTTCATGAAGGAGAGAGGGGAAGGAAGTACTACCCCGCCTACCGTGGCCAGCCATGCAGTAGCCACAGGCAGAAGGCCAGCGGGAGAAAAAGGAACCCTGAGAAATCCAGAACGGTCCCCTGGCTCAAGCAGTTGGCATCCCTGGGAGCACGCTCACCGAGACGGCACCACGCGGTCTGCCTCTCCATGGGGCTGGGGTCACCATCACATCAGTCTCATCCACAGCCACCTGCCTCCCCTCCTTCCTGCCATCTCCTGTCCCTCCCATGCCACCCCTGACCTCTCCCAAGCCTCTTGGTCAACACAACTCCTTTTAGTACCTAAGCACCACCTCACAGAGCACTTGGGCCTCGCGTCTCCGGCCCCTAACCCACCCGGCGCACGCGTCTGCAGTCTGCCACCCTTCCCCAGCCAGGGCCCGAGGGATGCCGTCTCTGGGAGAGTCCAAATCCAGTCCCAAAGGTGCCAGCAAAAACTCTGGGCAGTCTCGCTCCTAGGAAAATGAGTCTCTGTCCCTGGGACACCATGACTGTCTCTGGAAGCCAGGGAGGCCGTAATAGTAACTGCAGAGCTTTCTGTGTCACTATCCAGTTAAAAGCTGAGTCCCCCATCAGAGATAAAAACACCCGCTCCTCGTGGGTGCCCTCAGTCCCAGGACATGAACGGCTAGAGATCACTGTCTGATGAGAGCAGCTGGTCTGCTCCTTCCTGCCGTTCTAGTAAGCTCCACAGCCACTCCCCTCACGCCCTTCACATTCGGTGCCACAAGGCCACCGGTGCTGTCGGAAGATCTGAAAAGTGTCCACGGTACTTAGTAACAGAGACGCTGGGGACCCGACTGGTAAGGAGTTCAGTGTTGTATTGGAGGTAAAGCCAGATCAGGGCGTTTAGAAAAGGGGGAGACAGAAAACAAACGATTTTTCAAGAACTTTGGCTTTGAAAACAGGTGGGATGGCTGAAGGTAAGGCAGGCAGGGCGGAACATTAGATGAAGTGGAGACGTCCGTCTGGGTTTTCACAGCGAGCTGGACAACAGGCGCTGGGCAGAGGAAGACGAGAGCGACAGCTCCACAGGGACAGCGCTTGCCACGTGGCACTGCCGCTCTCGGCACTTACGCTGCAACCCCCTCGTTCCCTCTGCGAAGCAGAGGCCAGCACGGTCCTTGCTTTCAGAGGTGGAACGGAAACAGACTGAGGTCCCTGTGGCCGCAGCGGTCCCTCCTGTGCCACCTTCTCTTCCGACAGTGACCCAGACACTCCTCCCATCAGGTGGTGGGGTCCACGTGCCCTCCCCTCGAACCTGCACGGAACTTCTCTGAACTTCTTTATGACACTGTCTCATAAAACGCCCTGCACACCCCCCCAGTTCTTTGGGGCTGCCTGCTGCTGGGACCCAGCCACTGTACAGAAAGGCCCACATCGGAGAGAAGGTGAGGGCCCTGGTCCACAGTCCTGGCTGGGCTCCTAACGGACAGCCAGCGCTAACCTGTCAATCATGTGAGTGAGCCATCCTGAAACTAAGTCCCCCAGCGCCCGCGCCCTGGCTGACTCTCCCCTGCCGATGTGCCACGAAGAAAATAAGCTGTTCTCACTGAGCTCTGTCCAAACTGCAGGTCCACGAGCCAAGCAGGTTAAGTATCACTATTCGAAGACATAAAGTGTGGGGCAGTTTGTTAGGCAGCAAAAGATAACCAAAGAGCCACCTCATGACTCACCCAGCCCTGCTCCCACCCCTTGCTTTGGGAGGCATCACTTTTCTGCTTTTTCTCTTCCCTCCCCTGGTCACTTTCCTGAGCATCCACTCCTCGATTCACCACGCAACGCTGGTGTCAGCAGCGTGTCCGTCCCTGCCCTCCCCAGGCAATCTCGACCACTTCTACGACTTCGTCACCACTGACCCGCCGAAGATGCCCGTCTCCAGCTGCTGCTCAATATCTCATCTGCATGTTTCACAGGCAAATCAAACTCAAACTGTACAAATCCAAACGCACTTTCCCCTCCTGACCTGGTCCTCCTCGCTGCTATCTCATTGCTCGAGCAGACTTGGGAGTGTCCCTTGACTCCTTTTTCCCTGTCGCCCAGCCCCACCATTTCACCTCCCAAACACCTTCTCAACGAGGCCGTATCTCTCACTATCCATTGCCACTACCTGGATTACCGCACTTGATGACCCTGTTTTACTGGAATGGCCTTCGAACCAGTCTCCCTTCGTCCAGTAATGCTTCTTTCCGATTTCAGCTTCTGGCCTGCTTGCTATAAATCAGGACGAACTTACTAGGATCAAGAACTAATTTAATAAGAGTGCACACAACTGCGCTGCTTACCTTAATCACACTCCCGATGTGGTTCTGCTGAATTAAGAGACCTGTCAGTTCTGCAGTGTTCACAGGAGCCTTCAGGAAAAGCTAAGACAAGATAAAAATTATTTTATACTAAATCAAAACACAATTTCTAATAAAACTCCTAATTTCCATATTCAAATAAAAATAATGAAATTCCAATGATCTGACCAGGAAGATGACCCAGAAATGCAATCCCAAGAGGACAGGAAAAGCCCAGGAGAATCGAAGAAGCTAAAGGCACTGACATTTAAGAAGAGGCGGTCAGTGGTAACACGGGAAGTCTGGGGCAGCAGCAGAAGAAAGAGGGGAGAAGAGCAAGGCGAGGATGGACACGAGGCCCAAGAACTTGGTGACCAGGAAGGACACTGGAGGCTGCAAAGGGTAGAGAACCACCACCATCTCCATCTCCTATGGGGTAAAGGAGGACACGGAGCACCAGAAGGCACTCCGTGACGCGGCTGTTACGTAAGAGTTCCTCGCCGCCACCAAGTTGAGACGGGAATTACGGAAACATGGAACAGTGGCTCAAGTAATCAGCAGATGAAAGGGAGGGTATTTTAGGACACAGAATACTTAAAAATGTTGATCAGAGGAGGGAGCCGTTAGCTTTGAAAAAGAAGAGAAAGTCTTCCTTCCAGGCAAGGTCGAAAGGACAGGAATGGGAGGGAATTCTAAAAGACAGGATGAAATTTGAGAGCTTGTGTGGAATGGCCTGGACTTTCTCAGAAGGGCAAATTTATGCATAAAGAGTAAAAGACAATACCTGCTGCAGTAATTTCTTAATTCCGTCATAATCGTTATCTGAGATGGAATAAGCTTCGAATTCAACATTCACTTCCTGTAAACAACACACAAAACAGGCTGTCACATATAACTTTCTAAGATACTTCAGACATTATTTTCCACTTCGCAAATTTTTCTTTTGCCTCCACCTCCATGCTTTTTGGCCCTATCTCTATCTGCAAAACATTCCAGAAAAACGACAAGCAGAAAAGGTTACCTAAAGAACTATCTAGTCCATAAAAATAAACAACACTGCCAATATGGCATCCACGGAGAATACAAAGCACCTTCACACCATCTCCCCGTCTGACACAAAAGCCTGAGGACAATACACTCAGAGTGAGCTAGTCTCGATGCAGAGAAAATCTGCTCCAGGTAAGTCACAGCAGCCACAAAGGAGAAATTATTATTTACCTGACTACGATAAGGGTGAGCAGAGAAGAAAATCACTTCTAAAGTCCTTGCATTGCCTAAAGTTAGATTCAGCTCATGGATTTGAGGCTCCGCTTCATTCACTTGGCAAGTATGTTTTTACTTAGCGCCACCGTGCACCAAACACTGCGCCAGGCACTTGAGAGGAACAGGTGAGTAAAGACACGAATGATCCTGTCTTCGTGGAGCTTTTGGCTCAGGTGGGAATACAGACATAAAGGAATTACTCAAATGTAAAGTTGCAACTATGTGAGCTATAAAACAGGTGCCTGGTGTTATAACAGCTTGAAAAGTAGGAGGTCACAAAGTCAGGAAAGGCTTCCCTTGGAGAAGGGAGATTTGAGCTGGGGACTGAGGACACGAGTGTTCCTGGCACAGGGAGCAGCGTATACGAATGCCCTGAGGCAGTTAACTCTCTAACACTATGAAAAATGTAGAGATTAGAGAGTCAAAGTCTTATTACCTACCCCCACTGCTACTCGCCAGAGGTTACTGCCTATGTAAATTATTCTTTCAAGAAGTTTTCGACACATATAATCAAATATACTGTTTCTTCTTTCCTTCACATAGACTGTGCTATACATGCCGTTTTCACTTAACTTGCTGTGTGTCCCTTGTTGTAAAATGATAATTACTAACTTCATATAGTTGATGTAAACATTAAATGAGTTAGTACACAGTGCACAGAGCCTAGAACATCTTTTATTATTACTATTACAAGAAGAATTATTGAGTCAGGGGAATGTACCCACTTTAAAATCTGACAGACATTGTCAAACTGCCCTCCAAAGACCTTCACCAATTTATACTCCCACCAACAGTGTATGTAAATGCTTATTTTCTTACACCATCATCAATGATCGTTACTGCACAAATTTTTAATCCTTGACAGTTTGATAGATTATCAGTGTTAATGCAAAAACCACTGATCTCCGTAATTCAAAGTTAGCAAAATAGCCAGCTAAAGTTCTTTTAAGTAAAAAATGGTGAGACCGAATTCAAGACAAAAGGCCAAAGTAAAAAGCTGATTTGTGAGGAAAAGCTGTGTTCACTGGAAGATGAGACCATGCCAGTCTCAACCCTAATCCTGCATCCACGCTTCTCTGAACCCCGCCTTCACATTCATTCTGATTCGCATTTAAATCTGACTTGATTTGCCATCACTCTCTAATGCTTACTCTGATGTAGCCACACTAGCTGTCCTGTTCTTCAACAGCAAGGAACCTGGATTTTCTTAGAAATGAGAAGCTACTGGAGCGTTCTGAGCAGGGGAGTGAGACTAGACCTATATTTCTAAAAGATCGCTCTGGCTGCAGGTGGACTCAGTAGCGGAGTAAATGGAACATGGAACGAGGCATGCCGGTTAAAACTGCGTAGTCCAGGTGAGAGATGGTGAAGGTGTGGATGATGATGTACACAATCAATGGTGAGAAGTGTCTGGATACCGAAGGTGAAGCTACCAGGATTTACCGATGACCTGGATGTAGGATGAGGAAAAGGAAGGAAATTTAACTTCCAGGTTTCGGGTGAACTGGGGGACCATTTGCAGAAGCGGCAAGGATGAGGAGGAGCAGAGGCATGAATGCCGAATTCAGCTCTGGAGGCGTTAAGTCTGAGGTGACTGTTAGACATTCAGTGGTCCTAAGGATCATTTACTCCTAATTATTCATTCAATAAATATGAAGTGCGTATAACGCCAGGCGCTATGTACGGGCTTTTCTGCAGGAACCCCGTTCCAGACACATCACCAGAACATGGGGAGAGGGGCAGGCTCGGCTGCCCGGGGGAGGCAGAAAATACAGCGTAGTTGAGACTTGAGCAAGGAAGGAAAGAACTGCAGGACGAAGAGGAGCGCTTGCAGAGGCTCGGGGTAGAACGAACGGAGCAGGGAACCTTCCAGAAACGGCGAGGCGGCCGGCGTGGGCTTTCAGCACCCCCTGCCCCTGCTGTGTGGAAGACCCCTGAGTGAGACCCTCCGCCAGCCCGCAGCTCGGCCCCGAGCCGCTCACACGCTCACGGCCCAGGTGTTCCCTCCCAGGTGCAAACCAAGCCGGGGTCGCGTGCGCCTCTCACCTCGTCGACGACCTCGTCGTCATCACTTTCTTCTTCGTCACTGTCTTCATCGTCCTCGTCCTCTTCCTCGAGGTCGTCTTCCTCCGCTTCCTCGCGGTGCGGGACCGGGGTATCTGGCGGCGGCGGAGCCCCAGCGCCCACGGCGCGGCGCTTGGGCCTGGACGCCATGTCTCCGTGCTCACTGCGCCTGCGCACCTGCCACGCGCCCGCCCCCCCGACCCACCCACACAAGCCGAGGGGGCGACAGACCACAAAGCACCTCGGCGCTGAGTCGGCGACAACGCTAGGGCCCCTGCCGGACTCCACGGCCGTGATACCCCAGAGCCAGGTCCAGCCTGGGGTCCTATCTTGGCCTCTTCTTCCTCCCTCGGTCTTTCTTCACTCCCTCCCAGGCTCCCTCTCCCCCTCGCGCAGTGGTTCGACCCATCTCGGAGGCGTCTCCCCGGGGGCTGGTGTTGATGCGCATGCGCGAGCTCCAGCTGTGCGCTGCCCGGGCTCAGCAATCCGGGGCTGCGCCGGTGGTGGCCGCCAGCCCCGCGCGGGCTGTCGCCAGGGCAGCTCAAGCCACGTGGTGAGAGACCTCCCTGCCCCCCGCTCATCGGTCCCGCCGCCTCTCAGCCTCCCGGTTGGGGTCGCGAGATACCGTTGCCCTAGGCGACTTCCCAGGGCCGGCGCCTGGCTGGCCACGGCCCCAGCTCCCAGACCGTTCGGGCCTCACCTGCCCAGCGAGGTAGGTGTCACCGCTGACGTACAGACGAAGACGCAGAGGCCTGCGGCGCTAGCGAGTGCATGACGAGTCGGGAGCGGAGCCCCGAGGCCGCTGCTGGCCTGAGTGCGGGCCGTAGTCCGGGGCAGTGGTCGGCCCCAGCTGGAAGGTCGCCGGATCCGTGCAGATAACGCCCCCGCCCGGCTCTGGCCGGACTCTGCGGGCGTCACCCAAACACGGTGGCACGGCCTTGTCAGTGATTGATCTGTGTGCCTGCCCTTAGCTGACCCTCTTTAGGCGTACTCCCTTAAGCATACTTTTTGACCTGAAAATTTCTTTAAAAGCAAGGATCAACCTTAAATGCTTCAATGCCAGTGGGGAAATCTGAATTACAGACTGGAGCCTACTGTGAGAGGGGCGCAGGGGACACTATGGCAAGCTAGTATGTACATGACAGCCGCGGCGGGTCACAGCCGAGTTCGAAATGCCTGCCCAGGGCTGTCAGCTTTTTACATTTCAAGAGAATCTGGATTTTTGCAAGAAATGTCCAAATTCTTTATATCTTCAAAATGTTTTTAAAACCTGTGCCAAATAAAATTCATTGACCAGCTGGGTTTATCCCATAGGCTACCAGTTTGCAGCCCACTAAAAGACATCATTTAGAAAGAAGGTTATTAATTAGAGATGACATCAGCTTTCTGAGAGGAAGGTCTATTATTTGCCTCTGTAAAATGAGGAGAGCGGGTTAGATGCATGTGATTCTACAAGTGGAATGAGCTGCCCCAGTAGTGAGGTGGCCACGGCTGGAGAGGTTTAAGCAGAACAGTGGTAACCTTCGGCAATCAACAATCCTTCAGCAGAAGGAATTGGAACCAAGATACCTGAAGTGTCCCCAGAGTCCCAGTGATTGTGTTCCGTGGGTTCCATCTTCGCTGAGTCTCGTCTACCAGGCAGGCCACGACAGGGATGTTAGTGCACTTACACATCAGGCAGCCTAACTTGGCCCCTCTGGGTCCCACAACTTTATGCAAAAACATCTTCCAATAACACAAGAGAGGAAGCTGTGAGAAACACCTATCAAAAGGCTAAAATTAGGGAGAAGACTCAGAAGGCACAGTGCCAATGTGTCAATAGAGTTGCAGTAAGACATCTTGGGTAATTTTATTTCCCTGTTCCCTTATACATTTTGTTTGTGGTAAAATATACATACATAAAATTTACCGTTTTAATCATTTTTAAGTGTACGCTTCAGTGGCATGAATTACATTTGCAGTCTTGGGCAGCATTTACCCCCATCCATCTCCAAAAGTCTTTCATCTTGCAAAATTGAATCTCTGAACCTATTAAACAATAACCCCCCGTCCTCCTTCCGCAGCACCTGAAGCCCCCGTTCTACTTTCTGTCTCTATGAATTTGCCTATTCTAGGTACATCACATTAAGTGGCATCATGTAATATTTGTCCTTTTGTGACTGGCTAATTGCACTTAGCATAATGTCTTCAAGGTTCATCCTTGTTGTAGAGTGTGTCAGAATTCTTTTTTAAGGCTGAGTAATATTCTATTGAAAGGATAGGCCACATTTTGTTTATTCATGTATCCACTGGTGGGCGCTAGGGTCCCTTCTGCCTCTTGGCAACTGTGAATAACGTTGCTATGAACATGGGTGTACAAACACCTGTTCAAGTCCCTGCTTTTAATTTTTTTGAGTATATACCTAGAGATGAAATTGTTGGATCATATGGTAATTCTACGTTTAGTTGTTTGAGGAACTGTACTTTTAAGTAGTTTGCACATTTCCCACGGTGACCATGTATTGCCTTGATAAGGGAAGTGGGTAAAACTTTGCCTCGTGCTCTCAGGTCAGTGCCCAGTGTCAAGCTCATGGTCAGAGTGTGAATGAGAGCAGCAGATGTGCATAAATGGACTACCTGTGGGTTTGTCCTTCAAGACAACACAGTACTGGCCCCAGGGAGCTTAACCCAATCAGGGACTAGGTTGCCATCCACTGGCTCAGTCTTCAGCGTTAGATTTGTCATTAGTTTTATTTATAAAATATCGATTTTACCCTCCATAAGTGGGAGGGCAGGAATCATTGTATATCCAGTGCTTGGTACACAGCAACTTAAACATTTGTCAGCTTACTGACAGGATTACACAAACAAACCTAAAGTTTAAGTGGGATTCAGAGAAGAAAAGCTTAATTCCATCCTGGTTCCAACCGTCACAAATCAGACTGTGGACAGATGGTTTCACCCAGAAATACATTAGTAGTTAACTCTGTCTTCTGTATCAATTCCTGATCCAGCCGCTTCTTAACCTCTTCACGGCTAAACCCCTGCAAGCACCCCCACTGCCTGCTCTCCTGCGGTGGCCATCCTTGTTGCAGAAGCCGAGGTCCTTCGAAGTGTTGAGTCCCATCACTGTCACTTTCGGTGCGTTCCCCTTTCCCGTGGAATCCCAAGTGCGCTCTGTCCTTCCCGCTCAAGCCAGGCCTACCCTACCCTCCTGGGGACAACAGGGCCTTTTTCTGACACTCGAACATTTCTTCTCATGGCTCTTGTCACTCAGATCTCAACTCTGATGTCATCTCCTTTATTTCTCACTGCTGTTGTCATTCAGATGTCACCTTCTCAGGTCCCCTTGAGAGGTAACTAGTTATCAGCACCCCAGACCCTTCTACCACATCACCTCATAGCACTTGGTGGTACTTGAACTTGGCCCCCACTCCCAATAAATAATGCACACCTAATCACCCTGAGGACATTCCAGCTGTGGACTGTGCAGAAACACCTTTGGGAGCGACTGGCAGCTGGGGTGTGCGAGCCTTTGACCCGTGGGGCCTATGTCTCAGCCAGGACCATGGCAGGGACAGGCAGGGCTGGGGAGAGGCCTGTGGCCACAGGGTCCCCTGCTTCCAACAGCAGTAAGCTTCCAGTGTTTAACCCCACGATAGTTGCTTATGTTGTGTGCCCTGGACAGCTTCATGCTTTAGCAGAAAATGCCAAGTTTCATCTGCCACTCAGTGACATTACAGATGCCTGGAACCCCAGAATTGGAAAGTGCATCAGTCAGGGTTCAGCCAGAGAAACAGAACCCGCAGGGATGTGTATCAGGAGACTGACTGCAAGGAATCGACTTGTGCACCTGGGGGGCGAGTCCGAAACCCCCACACAAGGCGAGGAGGCGGGCGGGACTAGGACACGAGCCGAGGCTGCGTCCACGGGAGGGATTTCTTCTTCCCAGAAGCCTTGGTTCTGTCAGGCCTTCCCGCCGCCTGCGTCAGGGCCGCCCAGATCACCGAGGGTAGTCTGCCTGGCGGTGGACTGGATCACATCCCAAAAACACCTTTCCCGCAACACCTGGATTCGCATCTGAGAATGAACGGGGACTCTAGCCTAGCCAGGTGACACGTGAGAGTGACCATCACAGTTTCTGTGTGAGACCCATTCCGGTAACTTGAGGAAATGATAGAAACGGTACTACCCATTTTCCAAATCCCCAGTCTCTCCAGCTAACAGCTTGACAGCAGCAATAATTAGAGCTTGATTTCATAATTACTATTTGTTCGCACAGGTTTGGTTGCTTAGATACAAAGCAATTCATTTTAAGCCAGATTTTCCTAAGACATCCTGTAGATAGTATAATGTTTTGGAAGTATTCTCAGTAATAATTTGTAAGTAATGGCTCCCAGAGTTTACACATTTCTGCTCCAAGCAATATACCCTGTCTGACTATTGTCAATCAGTGTATCATGTTTATTAAATAACTTGCCAGTAGATCTGATGATACTTACGGGGTAATACTCTGCATTTGAAGCAGAGTTTATGCACCAGTTCTTTGGCATTTATTTTGAGGCCTTCGGGGTGGTTATAATGTGCTTTTTCCCCCTTGTTACAAAGGGAGTTTAATGTTTGTTGTAAAAACAAAATTGGAAATACAGAAATAAGTAAAGAAGAAAATAATCACCCTAATCTACCACCAGAATAATTACCATTAGAATTTTGGTGCATATTCTGTCATTTATGTATATATAAATTCTATAAAATTATACTATTATTTATGCAATTCTCAATCCTGATTTTTTAAAATTAATGCTATTTTGTGATTATATAATCTATAACTAAATTATTAATGTTTTAATGATGTCATATAACTGTACAGTGACTAACCATTCTGTCCTTGTTAGACATTCACATTGTTTCTAACTATTTGCGATTATGTAGAATACCAGGATACAAAGTTGTAACTAGTAGATAACTCCTGGAGATCTAATGCCCAGCATAGTGATTGCAATCAACAGTACTGTATTACAAACTTCAAAGCTGCTAACAGACTGGATCTTAATAGCTTTCACCACAAAAAGAAATTATAATTATGAGACGTGATAGAGGTGTTAGTTAACACTGCAGTGGTGATCATATTGTAATATATAAATGAATCAAATCAACATGCTGTACATCTTAAACTTTCATAATGTTGTGTGTCAATTATATCTCAATAGTAGAAAAAGAATACCAGGATGAGCATCTTTATGTTAATCTTTGCACTCACTTAGGAGTATTGCTTGAGTATTCTTAGATGTGAAATTATAGGAAGAAAGGGTATGAAGTATGTAAGGCTTTTGATGAATTCAGCTGTTTTCCGGGTTGTCAGAAAATTTTTGGAAGATTATTTCGTGATACTTGACAACATTTATAAAATGTCATTTGAGAAGTAGAAGAGTCAGTGTTATTTCCTAGCGTTTGTGAGCAAACTAGTATATATATATATAT